ATGAGGGGTGGTTTAGGGAGCTGACCTAATCAGAGAATTGAAAAAAAAGGCTGGACAAATTCCACAACCGGCTGGCTAATTAGAAAGACATCTGTTGACAGTTGTTGGGAGCAGTGGACTAATACTCAGGGGCTGTTTTTCTAACAGCCTTCATATTATATTGCTGGGACAACAGGGTGAGATTGTGCAGTGGAAGGATCATCAAGATGAGAGAGGAAAAAAAACAAAACTAGGACAAAGAGAAAAGAGAAAAAGAGAAAAGAGAAAAAGAGAAAAAGAGAAAAAGACACACATGATCACAGTGGATGCATACCTGGGACAGCAGAATAGGTTTGTGGACTGAATCTTGAAAGGATGGGAGAGTACCCTTCCACAAGTGCTGTGGCTGCCCCAGGTATTGTATAACTCTGGTGACATGTCTGTGTCATAAGTCTGTAGCTTGAGGAAAAAAAAACAGGAGTGAAAATGAAAATAAAACTCTCAACATCTAAGGAAGTCCGGAAGTCCGGAAGTTTTTTTGAGGGGGGGGGGGGGGGGGGGGAAGGGCCAGAAAAGAACCCCCTCGGGGAATGGTTTTGTGCACGGTTTTCTTTCATGGATCACAGAAATCAAAACCATGTACAATTCTTTGGAACTGGACTGGAGCACATGCAATGATTGTCAAGGTAAATGTTGTTGTTGGCCAGACTAATTAACCTAGAATATAGAGATTGTTTTTGGATTTGTTTTATAATCAGATTCAAGGCAAATGGGTCAATGGCTTTTATCCTGACATTGGAGTTTGATGCCATTTGTCAAGACCTGGAAAGCTCCTTCTTGCTTCACTCCAATGTTTTTTGTTTGTAAACAAAAAATCCTGGCTTGGAAAGGAATTGCAAAGGACAGATAGTATCTCCATTTCATCTTTTTCAAACCCAGTACACTGGGGTGCATAACTTGTGGAACATGCTTGTTGGAATTTCGCACCTTGATATCTGCTTCTCATCTTTCACATCACATGTCACTCATTTGTCATGATCAATTCTTATTCATTATGCATCAGAATCTGCTCCCACAACTTGTGCATGTTTTTATCTAGATTATTTAAGACAGTCTACATAGTACCAAGAAATGAACACCATCCACCATGAAAAATTTGAGGGCAGTACATGTCAGGTGACATGAAGCTCACTCCTGCCTTTATTCCAGTGTTACTTCAAAATCAAAGGGTTGGGACTCCCTGATGACCACAAAGGGGACATTGTTATTTGAGCAGACAAGCACCAGAGTAACAATATGTCACTTCATGGCACCTGGCACCTACTGCCCCCAGATATTTCCTGGTGATCAGTCTTAACTATTTTGAACTGGTCCTAAGAGGACACTTTAGCCTCTTCTTAGCTTATATCAATCACACTTCAGCCCAATTGACTAAGAATAAAATAGCCTCTCAGACTTCTGTCTGCTATTGGCTCTGCCGACTTTTTGTCCCTCACCAACTCTAATTTCTTCAATGCTTAATACCTTGCTGTCAAATGCAGCAGTACAGACTGTCAGACAGTGAAATGATTGCTTTATGATCACATGAAAATGGATAACAGAATTATTTTTTGTTTGAAATTAGATGATAAGAGAATTTTGTGAAGTAATTTGTTTGGTACGAGTGTGCATATGCATCTCATGATTCTTGACTTTGTTTTGTGAGTTTTGGAACACCTCAACTATAAGTACTGCTGGAAGTGGATGTTGTCAGTAGGCCGGTTCACGTCTGAAGTTCAAGGCAACTTTTAGCACTTTTATGGATAAAATTTTACAAATTTTGTCAAATCTCATGAATCATCAGGCTTGGAGGAATTTGAGATTTTTGACAAACTTGGAAAATTTTAATGATAAATGCTATAAAACTTGCTCCAAAGTTCAGACGTGAACCGTCCTAGTAGGTGGCACCCCACTGGATGGGACTGGAGCTTTTCTGAGCTTCATTAAAGACTCTGAAAAAGCTTAAGCAGGTGCTGTTCATCCTTTGAACATCATGTCATGGAGGTCTTGACAAAAAAAAAATTGAATTGTCCATCCTGCAAGTGCAATATCCAGTACAACAGAGGACAGGACACTGAGATGGAGGCAAAGGGTTTACCCGGAGACCCCACGGGGTGGCAGGACGCGCCTCTACAGACAAAGACACCGACACCGGGCGGCTGGGTGCAGTCTATTGTACTACAGCCGAGCACAGAGGCAGAAGCACAACATGGCCGAACACGCGATATCGGCAACAGCAGCGGAAATGAACATATCTGTTCATGCGTACCAGACCAAGTTGACGATTCCTGATCGGCCCAGCTTGCCGGATTTCCTGTTCCATTTTACTCGTCTCACTCAGTCGATGATGATCTGGATCGGCACCGTTTCAAATTCAAGTGATCATTCGGGCGACAATTCTGCAGTCGATACCTGCTTGGCCAAAGATTGGTCTTGTGCTGTTCCTCCTTCAACAGTTGAGTATATTTTTTTGTTATAATACGAACTCTCTTTTACGTTTAGATACTGAAATCTTCCTCTCTTTTTGTTTTGGCTTTTTTGCGGCCATGATCAGTCTTTCCCGGCAATCTCAACTCGCTTGAATTCGTCTAATCCGACAGACGGATTCAGTCAAGCATTGGCCCAAAAAATAGGTCAGAGGTCGTCACCCAGTCATCATCTCCTCTGCAATCGTCTTCGTTTACGATCAAAGTGGAAAAACAAGGCAACAGCTCGGAAAATAATGCGTGTCTGTTTTGCTTTGCTGATGATTGACTATCTAGCTCAGAAGTTCAGAATACAAGCGTTTGTCTCAATCGATCTTCCCGCTTCACTCCTCGGATCGGATTCGCAGATCAAATTCGCCCTCGAAAAACAGCTTTTTGGTCATATTCAATCCTTATTATCAACAAAGACTTCACAGGAGCCTAAAGAGAAAACTTGTTGACCACTGCATGAGTTTATCATCTCCTATAACACAATTAATCCGCGTGCAAATGTCAGCCTTGTGGGGTAATCGCATGAATTGAGGTGGACAAACGAACGTTTTTCAATGAGCATGCTCATCATCACTGGGATGATTGCCAATCTAATCTGTTGTACCAGTCGATGAGGTTAATCAATAAATTCATGGTCTGGTTGTGGAATGCTTAAACTCAGATATAAGGGTTATATTAAAAGACTCGATAAATTAGCATAATTGCCTATTCTTGCATTTTGCACCTGTCAAAATGTTGAACCAAGTCAAAGGGCCTCAACAAGATCAGAAACCAAGGCGTCTTGAGGAGCGGGCGATTCGGCTGAGGCATGTATTTCGGACACTGGTAAAGCGTCCACGACGTCCACAGTATGCTGGACCATGTGCATGCTGCCATTGGCCGGTTGATTAAGCAAGGTGTCGGCCGTCTGGAAGATGAGTGCTGCCGCAGCGGCTCCGATCCTTGCGCTTAGTTGCAACTGATACAGACTGTCAAGTGGTTGGGCTTGAGCGGTTGGTCGGAAATTTTGGAAATTGGCGACTTCTTGCGAATTCACTTTGAAGTTCCTCGACATCGGTGGGTTTTGGACCGTCAGTTTGGTTGCTGAACAGCTCCATATCACGCCGTTGCCAATGGCCCACCCGTGCCTTTTCATGCCAACTTCCCTGTCAGCTTCAATCCCAATCATTTGAGACGCTAAAACAGTAACAAGAGAGAAAGAAACCGACAACTCACCCGGTGCCCATGATGCCACGATTTTTCAAGTTGATCTGCCCAACATGCGAGTTCTCCTATATCATTGGAATAAAAAAAAAAGATGCGACCAAGAACACCATATCAATATTGTGAGTATCAAGCCATTGGGAAAATTCCAATTCAGATATACACACTACTAAAAACCCAGTACTCCATCGCTGATGAGGTTCGATCATATGGTGAGCGGATCCAGTAGCAATGTATCCAGAGACAACATTCGGCCCGGCTGCTAGCCGACCAGTTGAGACGATATATGAGGCCGTATTCTGGTTTCCAAGTGTTCTTCCTCGTAGAAGCAGAGCTTGCGATCCGCCCATGGTGATATCGAGTGGTAAAGCACCTGTTCCACCGTTTGAGGTCGGAACATCCCGGATGATCACGAAATCGGAGAGCGTGATTCTTCGACTAGGCTGGGTCAGATAGGAAAATTCAATGAAGCCCGTGATTTGGATGTTCTTGATCCAGCAGTCCTCTGCACCCCCAATCTTGATCGGCAAGATAGTCGGGGTCCCAACCACTAAGCTAGATGAATCAGGCACTTGAGTGAGCACCATGTTCTCAATTCCGGCCTGTTGAACTCGGATTGGTGCTTGATAGGCAACAATACTGGCAGTATTCTCAGACAATGAGACGTTGATGGAATCTGTCAAAGGAACTTCCCAACTGATCCGATTTCCATCGATGGCTACAATCTCTCGCTCTTGGTTGACTGGAGTGTTGGGAGCAAGCCAGACTTCTCGTTTTCCATTTCGGACCAAACTGCTCATATTCATGGCATCAATCCATGATTGAGTGGCCAGACGATGTACGGCAATACTTTGGCCAACCTTGAACTGGGAGGCGTTCTCCACCTCCACGAATTGTGCTCCAACACCAACGTAATCTTGATTGATTGCGCTCTTGCCTTCTTCTGGGCGCAAGGATCCAGAGGCTTTAGGATCCCCGATCTCGAACAGATTTCTGGGCGGGCCTGAGACTCGGAGTAATGTTGTGGAAGGCGTGCTTGATTGACCTCTAAGGACCACAAAGGAGGGCAGACGAATGCTGTTGTTACTCGATAAGAGGTATGTGCCTGCTTCAAAGAAGATCACGCCAGGGTTTCCAGCCAACGAATCGATCGCAGCTTGAATTTCATCCGTCCGATCGTCCTCGTCATTGGTAGGCGAAATGGTCATGGTGATGTTGTCTAACGAAGGAATGGGGACGTTTCCAGATCGATAACCAGCATAAGAAAAGTCAGGCAAGCTGTCCACAGGATTTGGATAGACAAAATGACTCAAAGCCGAGTCCAAGTCTGCCTGCTCGAGGGGATTGAGTGTTGAGGCGATCGTGTTTGGAAGGAGCGGAGACACCTCGGCGGCGATTGGTTGTCTTCGAGCTGTCTTGCGGTACTTTTGATAGTAGTTTCGCTTCAACAACCTCCTTTGATCGGGCCTTGAAGACTCAATCGGCATCATCAAACAAATATCAACAATTAAGATCAAGAAAATGATTTTGACTCCTGAAATCTTCTGGGATTGCTGGTTTGATGTATTCCCGATCTTGATGTCGCCCCACTGTATTCCAAACATGTTGGGCTCTTGGTTGTTGTGAGCGGTAAGTGGTTTCTATTTTCGCCTGGTCTATGGAAACTCTGAGAGGGTTTGGTTTCTGATTGCGCTCGATTGGATGGATGGATGGATGGGTATTAATGATACAGATTGGCTAGCCAAAAGGTATTTCGATCCAGATCGACCGGCGATTGTCTGGAACAAAGATGGTATTCTGTAAGGTCCTGATGAGAGGAAAGACAAGAACAGGGAAAGACGGAAGGGATAGTGATTTTGTGAAGCAAATCGAGGTGGTCAACACAGTGACTTGGAGGTTGAATCAGCGCTCCAGGGGCTGCGAGGAGATGAGTGATGAGAAACGCAGCAGTTGCTATACAATGTAAGTTCTCTTGAAACTGATGCCTGTCTTAGTATAACGTACTGTGGTTGAGGAAAACCAAAGCGCTATTCATAAAGACGGAGTTCACTTGGCGATACTAGTGCCCTTCAACCACCGGGCTAGTCAAACGGTTATTACCCAACCCCAGTGGTCGGGGCGTTTGTCCGACCAGCTCAGTGGCCGGCCGACCTTTCTTTTTGAGATCACATCGAAAGAATGAGTGACAGCGGAGGTAGGAGAGATTGACCCTAGCTGAGCCAACTATTAGAGCTACTCTTCCCATGGGAGAATCGGCTCAGCTCAAAAGACACACCGACATGCGAGAAACTGCAATTGTTTATCAACAGGACCCCCACTAGAAGCTTCCTGATGGGCAGCTGATCAAGTGGAGGACTTCACGTCAACATCTGCGGGTCTCCCAGAGTCGGTTTAGAGCCGCAAAATTCAAATTTCTCTGCGAGAATTAAGAGTTTTCGGGTCTAGATCAACTTCTTTGAGGGTCCCAGATCCGACGGGAAGTCCTCCAGTATAACAGTCAAAAACCCAAAAAACAAAATCTTGAAAAAGGATTAAGCAATTTCTGTCCAAATCTTAGGGCCAGTACCGTGGGGTCCAATTTTGAAAATTAGGCATTTTTTCTGCCTTCTACAAAAAATTTCAGACAAAGTGGAGGACTTCCCGTCGGATCTGGGAGCCTCGCAGTTTCCGATTTAAACCCAAAAAGTCTAGATTTTTGCAGGGAAATCTAGCTTTTTTGGCTCTAAATCGAAACTGGGAGCCCCGCAGATGTTGACGGGAAGTCATCCAGTGGAGGCGTCTAACATTGAAATTCTTCACTTTTACACTAAAATTTGGCTTCAGGTGATGGCCAATTTTGATAAAACAAAAATTTGAGTAAGATAAATTCCAAAAAATTGAATTTTTCTGCCCTATGGTACTGGCCCTTATAAATAGGACACCTTGCTTAAATCGGTCCGTTAGGGCAAATCCTTTGCTTGACCTGTCTTGACTGCCGGGAGGATTTCAAAAATTGATCAGCTTCATCCTCATTTTCAGTGATAACACTGAACGCATTTGTTGAGCTTGATGTTCTGCATGGAACTGGGATGGCACACAGTTCAATTTATTCATTTTAGGTGGCCTATTTTCTTTTTACCAGGCAAGTGCAGGAACTATTTCACAACCGAAAAAAAAAAAAAAAAAAAAAAAAAAAAAAAAAAATCCCGACTTGGATCAATGGGTTTTTCTTGAGATCAATCCCACTTTGGCCAAATTTATTTCCCTAGACGGTAGACCAACAATACCCAGTAAGGAACTGACACAAGTGATATGTGTACAGTGCCTACACCGCGGGTGCAGAAAAATCAGAGTTCGACGTCAATTGACCCTGGCCGGCAGTTGACGTCAATCCATGTGCCGCCACGGCCAATCCCCGTAACACAAAAGGATGAACAGCCCACACCCAGCTGCAGACGGCCCCACCCGGGTTGATCCCAGGGTCACAACCGCAGGCCGTCGCTGACAAAACTCCGTCTCCATGCTGGCTACGCCACGCACGTAGACGGCAGGAGTGTCTGACCGCCAGCAGCCGCCCCATAGAAAAGGGAACATCTGTTTCACGGCGGACTCACTGTGGCCAACCGTTCGACTTCACTTCCACTGTTGTTTGAACGGTGTGGCTCTAACACCAGCAAATGGTGTGGACTCAAAACAAAACACATGTGCTATTCTCCCCCCTCACTTCTCTACGAAAGACATAGCAAAAAAATTCTCAGAATAGAAGCACAACTTCGTAATCACATATCCATGTCCGCAAACACATCAATCATTCTCCTTCCCCCCCCAACGGAGCATCAAAGTATTCCACCTCAGAGCCATCCTCGTCTTCCCTATTGAGCCAAACTGCCAGGCCTTCTTTGAGCATTGGTATGAGTTGGCTCACCTCATCTTCGCCTAGTGGGATGTCAGCCCAAAGACGTAGTGCTCTCGCACCCGGAATCTCCAGCGAATTGACCAAATAGTGTACAGCGTTCCGATGCGCCGCTGTGTTGTTGTTCTCCTCTGACTCTTCGCGCTCAATCCACACCATCCCAGTTGGGGTCACCTCACACCCCCCAGCATGGCAATTGTGCTGGAAGTTGATTGTAGACTCTACATCCTGAGGTTTGACGATTCAGTCAGCATTCCGTTAGACCCCATTCACCAAGATGTAGACATTGCCTCACCTCAATTCTCACAAACCGTGTAACTCCAGTCTTTTTTATCTTTCTCATGTTGTAATAATTATCAACATCTCCCCTTTCATACTCGGTGTAGCACACCCAGTAGGAAAGGTGAGACCGCCTTCTCGCTTCCCACATGTGATCGACTCGCCCAACTGTATGGTGTGCATTTTCCCTTGCCTGTCGTATCTGTCCAAATCAGATGCCACTTGTCAGTAAAGAACAGACACTTGCATGTAGTTAGGATAATAGAAAATGTTGAGACCAATACCAACCAATACAAAGACACCCTTTCGGAGCGCCCGATGAGCATTCAACTGGAAACCAACAACCTGAAAAAGCTTCTGACCTGGTAGATGCAACTGTAACGGTGGTGGGATCTGTGTCTTCTCCTCCGGAGGCAAGCGAGCATTCAGTGGGTAGGGAAAACTGCCACCCCTCGAAGGTACGGAGTGGTTGTAGTCCATCGACTTTTGGATAAGCGGGTTGTCCACAAAAAGCCGAGCTACCTCTGAGCCCGCTGCGATGTAAACGTTAGGGTGCTTGGGGTGCTTGAAGAGTCCGCCACAGGCAAGGTGCCGGATAGTCTTGTAGTTGGCAAAGGTAATTGCAATGTCCTTCCCCGGACTTTGTCGATTTGAGTGAATGGAAGCGTTCCGCAACACACCGTTGTAGCTCTCGAACTTCTCGGTGGCAAAGAGGCTTGCCGGCCCAAACCGCTCAATCGAATCCGGCAAGTGCACCAACATATGGAACTTTGGTTTATTGACCCACTGCGCCGTTGTTCTGATAATGTAAAACATGAACTTTCGTATGTGGAATCGCAGTTCAGCAAGGTACGAGTCCATATCCTCTATCTTTGTTTGAAACACCAGCGGAGCCAGTTGACACAGTGCTCCCCACGCAAGGCGTTCCTTCTCGTCGAAATAATTGAACAGCACAAAAGGGGCACTCTGGAGAACTATCTTGAACTCCTTCCCAACAAAGTTGGAGGAGTGTTTTGCCATGTAATACGGCGATAGCGACGGAATGTTCAGAGAAGTAGTCCGCAAAGCTCGGTACCAGCCCTCGATGATCCCCAATTCAGCTGGGGGCACTCGGCCCATAACGTCTCGTACCATGTACTTCACTATCCCAAGAAGGAACACGTGCAGCACCTCTACCGGGGTATCAGCACACCCATCGAAATCTGATGCAGAAGGGTGAAATCTATATAAGTGAGTGCATTACAAGTGAAGGGCTGTATCTAAAAGTTACTTGCCTGGTACTCTAAAGAAAGGGTTGAACAGTCTGGCTTGATCGGAGCAATCAATCTCAGCTATTCTGTTGGTGAATGCTTGGTTGGCCGGGGTAGCAGCATCTCCGTTCGAAAGTATACTGTACTTCAAAAGTAGGATCTCGTTGTTTACAGAGTCTTTTACTCCGAGATCTCCCCCAAGTACACCCACTCGCGTCTTTGTCCTGGGCTGCTTTGCAATGTCCCACAACAGATAACAGTTGGCAATGATGCCAATCCACGAACGAAGCCCATTCTTGATCTGCCGAGGGAAATGGATTGAGCGAGTTGCCTTCAAACTTGAGAACAAGCTGGACTCAACTCACCCAATACCCATCGTGGCTGATCTGCAAGAAGAATTGCAAATAAGCCATGCTTTTCCTCATACTCACACTGCTTACTGACAAATCACATGCACGGCATGGATTTCGAGAGTTGCCTGGCATGACTGTGCTTGTGATTTCTGCATGCATTGGACTGTCTGCCAAGAAACATAGAAGAGTCGATGTTACCAAAACTTCTTCGCCAATTCCGCTGTCATATGCTACACAACTGTCATTGATCAAGTCCCTGTGGAAAATGCAATCAAAAATACAATTAACATTGTGCAAATGATGATTCAAAGGGTCAACTCACATCAACTCATCAACAATCCCCTCAGCCAGTTCCATGGCCCCAGCGCTATTTGATGTGGATAAGAAATGGCAATTGAAATGTTGATTGGTGAGCTTTGGTGGTAGTCCAGCTAAGGTAAAGTAGTAGGAAATGTGCTTGTTCCATTTCTTGGAACTGTTGCCCGATGTGTCGTCGGCATACAAGCATATTGGCAGATGACGAATAACTCGTCCGGCTGCCTTCAAGCGCCACGGATTAAATATTGGTCCAATAGGATCACAGTCGTGTCCGATCTCTGCAATCGGTAGAATGATCAGTATTAACTGTTGAATGGACTGTTGCTCATTTCAAAAGGTAATGTTCCAGGGCTCACCGTAAATCTGGTTACCACAGAGATTGGACATGAGACCCCCACCCTCAACAGTCATTGAAGGGTATTCCATTCCAAACTCTTCAACCGCAATGCGAGTCAACCGAGGTGAGTCAAACGGTGGGTCCTTGGTGATCGAGAAAATTAACTGGCCAGTTTGATCACAGGCCCGGATTTCAGGTGTTTGGCATAGGCCATACATTTTCCCCTTGAATTCACAGAAGTAAGCCGGGACTACAATGAGACTTGACTTGAGTTCGACCAACTCATGCAAGTAGTAATCGTGACCTCCGTGTTGCACCATCTGTGCCCTAGTGTTAGGCCCGAGCTCTTTCAGCCATTTGGACGACTGGGACAGGCGAGAAACAGCTCTCCCCTCGGTGAGCTCGGGATAGTAATGAAGATGAGGCTCAACCTGAGGGTTTGCTAACTCGAGACCCAGTGTTGCCTTCAGGCTGAGGTAGTGGACTGGGCGGTTCAGGACTGATCGGCGTCCAATCACATCCATTCCAATCATCTTGCGCAACTTTGCCTTGCCACGGCGAACTGTGGTCCAATCTGGCAGTAGGGTACCACACAGGATAAACATCAGTTTGATGTGTTGGTACAACATCCGAGAGATGATGGTCCTGGTGTGACCAATGACCAAGGAGCTAATCAAATACTGGGTGGCACCCAACAAGACACAAGTGAGTTAGTGTCAGAAACAGTTCCACCAGGCAAAGAATGAAATACACAAATGACTCACCTCCTTGGCGCGAAAGGGCCACCATTCTGGGTTTTTAACACCCTTTGTACGAGATCTCTCCGACGTTCCAGCGGTATGTGGGGTCTGATAGTCCACTGGCGGCACATCGTCCGGAACCATACCATCCCATCCACCATCCTCGCTGCTTGTGCTCCAATTAGACGAGGCAACACTCCGAGGGACAGCCGGATTATCGAAGTATTTGTCCTCATTGATAAAATGCAAGTCATCTTGCAATTCCGATGGGGCAACATCACTCAGAGGGTGATGCTCGGGCGGTTCATCAAGAGCAGATGTCCATTGCATGTCAGGCGGCCCACGGGCAAGTAATTCCGCCGATTCCTCCTCGGCCTGAGCCATCTGGGCCCGACGCTCAACCTCGGCTTGGTGTGCGGCTGTGGCCTCATGGATATGCCTGTTGGCTGCCATGCTTCCCCTGCCTCCCCCACCACAGAGGCGACAATACCACTTGTCTCTTCTGTCCCCCGGCAACTGGAACCATATACCTTGGAATATTTATTAGAAACATCAATACATGCATGTCATCAGTTAATTTATTGGAGTCAAGAGGGGAGCGCACTTTTGTCTATCTTATGAGCAACACGGCCACGTGACCGATGAACCATTGCTTTATACGCACACAGATGTTGAAAAATTATTTCAAATCATCAGTACATGTATGTATTCCCTGGGAATAAAAGACAGGAACACACTTTTGCCTATATTATGACCAATAGGACGATGGGCATGATTAACCATTGCTGGATAAACACAACGAAGTTGATGGAACAAAACGATGCTGCTGATAGTCGGATGATGGCAAGTGATGATTATTTTTGTGGGCCATCAGATGGGCATGACCAGATTTTGTGGAATACGGATTCATCACCGCGGTCTGGGCATCGACTTTGGATGTTGGGTATAACACAACCATCCAAGCATGAGAAACAAGCCTCAATCAAAGCCTAGTGCATGGCTTGTGCACACTTTTACCACCCTTGTGCTCACCAACTTCGAAACAAATACCAGCCTGTGCCCCCATTGGGGTGAACTTGCATTCACAGGTCTTTTTAGTGGGTAATTCACATCCCAAGCTCAGCATAATCCTATTGAGTTTGCGATTGTTTCCTGGCCAGGCAAAGCAAGCAAAGCAATGACCACATATTAATTAGCTCGTTGTGGGTTTGGCAAGCCGATTGTGTGGATTATTGATTCATGAGGGTGATTACCAGGCGGCATGGGTGGGCCATTTGGAGGATTGCTTGCAAAACCGGTGGAGGATCTCGCGCGATCGATCGGATGCTTTACTCCTGTGGACGGATTGGGAGATTTGGTGTGATGACTCATGATTTGACCGTCTTACAGACGGTGATGATGAGCTCCCATACCCAACCGGGTCTTCATCTGTTCTTAAGCGAGCCCATGACAACAATTCCACATCCCACCACCCCTCGTCACTCCAGCCACTTCATATTTCACACTTCCAATTTGTAAATTCAAATTTTCTCAACCTTTCCAGCAGCTGAAAGACAACGCAACCTCTGTCTTCCCCCAGCTAATCCACTCCACCCCAACCTACCAACATGTCAACCACCAGCCAGTCGGAAAATGAGAGCCGGTCTCCAGTCCGAACCACACCATCCACTCGAGGGAATCACTCCAGCATTGCCAGTCGATCAAGCCACAGGACTCGCCCCTATTCCGCTGCTTTGCCTCGTGATCGTGGTGGACGCCCAGCCTTGAGTAGCAGCAATGGACAAGCTCGTAAGTAACCTCCTGCCTCTCTATTTGTTTCCTGTACTAACTAATCATACCAATTATCTGCCATGTATGTCCAGCGGAGGGTCTAACAGACCCAGAAAGTCCCCCTGCCGAACGCCAAGCAACTTTAGGTCGCCAATTTGGGAGACCTGGTGCAGGTGTTGCATCAACTTGGCCACCAAACATTGTTCCATTCGAAACTAGTGAGGCGAACATCGACGAACAATATTTGGATAACCTTAGCCAGACTTGGGATCTTCGGGCTCCTTACATAGATTTTGCGGAAGATCTTATGCGGGTGAGTCGGTTTCAACGTGAAAGATGTTTTATGCCATTTTCTAATTGCCCAACGTTTGTCTGTCAGGTCCCGCTCAATCGCCAATATAGTGTCTTACTATACTCGGTCCTCTCTGTTCGCCAAGCAGTTGAGTCACTCATCCGCTCGAGGGACACAGGTCATCACGGTTCCTCGGCTCCTGCAGCAATTCCTTTGTCTGTACAGGCACGCATCTACCCGTACCAGAACCATTTCAAGGTCAGCTGATCTCCCACTGGTGACTGGTCCAAGTGGAACTCACGTGGGCACTCTTTGAAATGCAGACCTTTGTTCAGAACCATGCCAAGGAGGTTCTCATTAGCCCGATCCTCGATGTATATTCTTGCAACCCTGTGAGGGGTGCACCGGCAGCTGGGAGGACCCCTCTAGATCAGGTACTGGTGGGTGACTTTATCGGCCTATGGTTTGAACATTCAGATATGTAATTAAACTGCACGAGTTTAACATTGTTTAGGACCACGTGCAAGCGCAATCAGACGAGTTCAAACTCAATTACTTACCAGTCGGATTCATCTCAGGCGAGCTTTCAGCGTTGGCAAGTGTGATGGTAGAGCTGCGCGACCGACTGAAACATGAGCGTGGATCGATGCGAAATCTTGTGGGTTGGCGACTTAAAAGGCCTTGTCTGAGTTGTCGAGCTGACCATGGGATGCTTGGCAGCTCCTCACTAATGTCCATGAGCCAAACGGTCGACCGATTACACACCCGGTCCCAACACTCACCGTTTTGCTCATCGATGTAAGTGTCGCATTCTGGGTGTCAATTTGGGTGTATATGATGGCTAATCATGATGTGTGCTTTCCAGATGTGCCAACGTATGGTCCCTGGTGGCAAACGAGCGGCCACTCGCGCTGCTGACAAGCGTTTGAGGTCCCGCATTGCCCACCTGCGGATTCAGACTATATCTCACTACGCCAGACCAAGCGCCGGTGATGCCAACCGACAGTGGTCCATAATTGATCAGCAATTAGTAGATTTGAGAGCACGGGATCCTACATATCGTCGGGCGTGAGTACTAATCTTTGCCTTGTCAAGCCACTCCATCGGATACGCGGAGCTGATACTTTTTGTTGATCTCAGTTTCTACCGGCTCATCATACAGCTCGATAACGAGTTGTTTGGCGAGACAATGTACACTGATTTGGATTTGGATCGCATCCGAATACCAACTCAGGAAGAGGTCGAGGCCCAAATGGCCGTGATGGCGCAAGGCTGAATGACCGGTGGTGGCCACTGTGTGCTCTGGCAATTGGTACCCGTCCCAGGCAGTATGCCCGACACGATCTCATGGTGCAATGTGTTTCTTTTAGCCGCATGAGTTTGCCCTGGAGGCGACTCTTTTTACTTTTGGTTTTTTACATATTTTTTAGGCCTGTAATTAGTTTTAATGGCTGGCAAGTTGTGCCGCCAAATGACAATACGAATATACACTAGTTCAACCATTGGCAAGCTGTCCCTCTGAGGTGATGAAATGATTGGTGGGAATGCAGTTGGGTGAACCACATACGATAATGTGTCCGCCCAACTGAATTCCCATCTGGGCAAACCCCGAATAGGTACTTTTTTGCTGCTTGCCGTCAGGAATCGCTAGGGCGGCTGCCCGCTTCTGAGGGCGGAGAGGTGGTCAGAAGATGCAACATTAGCGTCAGGGAGCTGGGCCACAGGTGTCTTTTTCTCCGTCGATGGACGGCCACCTTGACAAGGTACGTTGCCGTTGCAGCGTAATTATAGTCAGGGGACGACTGGTGGCAACGTCGTTGGACGCGCATACTCGACGGTTGCAAGATGTGCATTTTTAGACGTCTATTGAGGGCCGTCATTTAGCCCTTGTACGGAGCCCGTAAATGGGCCGTAGTTGCTTCCGCGGGAGGTCCCGTCTTGCAGCGGCAAATAATTTCGGGCGGAGCGACGGGAGTCTGCACCCGAGGTGTAGACAGTGAAAAGTGGCTGTTTATTTTGGATTCCAGAGCTCCAAAACACAAATTTGAAGTCATGAGAATTGGTCAGGTGGTGCATAATAGGTCCCAAAAAATGAATATGAAAAAATAAAAACAAAAAATAAAGTTTCAAAATTTGTGAAAAATGTAAAATAAAATTGATTTTTTTCAAGGGCCTTAATAAAAAAACGCGGTTTTTCCGCGTTTTGACGCGGTTTTGATGCGCCGCAGCACACGCGGTTTCCGCTTTTAGACGCGGTTTTTTAATTAATTTTTTACTGCTTATTTTTCGAGTTTTTTCAAAATTTTAAAATTTATTCCTACACTATGAAAGGTGTAGAATTTAATGGTTAAGTCCATTTTCCATAAAAATGAATTTTGATTATTAATTTTTTTTCCACTTATTTTTCAATTAATTGTTTGCATGCATGTATGTACCTTACTTTTTATGCTTTTGTGAAATTTTAAAATTATTTCCTAGGTTTCAATGTGTGTAGAATTTAATGGTACAATCCAATTTTTTTAAAACTCAACGGTTCATTTTTAATACTGAAATTAGACCCATTTTTTGGGCCTTAATAAAAAAACGCGGTTTTTCCGCGTTTTGACGCGGTTTTGGCTGCGCGCAGCACACGCGGTTTCCGCATTTAGACACGGTTTTTTATTTAATTTTTTACCGCTTATTTTTTGAGTTTTTTTGAATTTTTAAAATTGTTTCCTAGGTTTCCAAGCGCGTAGAATTTAATGGTAAGAACCATTTTCCATAAAAATGAATTTTGATTATTAATTATTTTTTTTCACTCATTTCTCAATTAATTGTTTGCATACATGTATGTACCTTATTTTTTATGATTTTTTGAAAGTTTAAATTTATTTCCTAGGTTTTAATGTGCGTAGAATTTAATGGTGCAATCCAATTTTTTTAAAACTCAATGGTTCACTTTTAATACTCAAATTACACCCATTTTTTCACTTAATTTTTTACAGCTTAATTTTCATCATTTTTTGACATTTTAAATTTATTTCCTACACTTTAAGACATGTAGACAATGATGGTAACAACCATTTTTCCCCAAAATGAAAACTATACCTTGAATGCCGCATTTGACACGTTTTTTTTAATTAATTCATCACTTTTTCACTTAATTGTTTGCATACATGTGTGTACCTTATTTTCTATGCTTTTTTGAAATTTTAAAGTTTTTTCATACATTTAAAAGTGTGTAGAATTTAATGTTAACATCCAATTTTCTTAAAACTCAACAGTTCATTTTTAATACTGAAACTAGACACTTTTTTCAATTAATTCTTTACATGTTATTTCTCACTATTTTTTGACATTTTAAGTTTATTTCCCACACTTTAATACATGATAAAAATGATGGTAACAACCATTTTACATAAAAATCAGCACTTGTTACTGAATACTGCAGTGGACAGGCTTTTTTTAATGTTTTTTTGATTGATTTTTACCGGCCTGATTTTAAGCATTTTTTTTTATTTTAAATTTATTTCCTACATTTACAAATGTTTAGAATTGAATGGTGAAGTCCAATTTCACTCAAAATACAAGCTTCAATCTTAATAGATGAGCGTACCCTGTTTCTTGCATAATTTGTACCATATACAAATTTTATTTATATGCAAAATGGATACAGCCATCAATTCTGAAACCTTTAAAAGTGTAGGATATGAGCTTGAAATTCCAAAAAAGAAGGATAATTGAGCGTGTAAGAATTAATTCAGGAAACACGTCAAAGGCATTATTCAAGATATAGTTTTCATTTTGATGAAAATTCATTGTTGCCATAATTTTATACATGTTTGAAAGTGTAGGAAACAAATATAAAATGTCACAAAATAATGAAAATTAAGCTCTTAAAAATCAATTGAAAAATATGACTAATTACAGTATCCAGAATGAACCGTTGAGTTTTATGGGAATTGAATGTTACCATTAAATTTTACACACTTTTAAATGTAGGAAACAACTTTAAAATTTCAAAAAAGCATAGAAAATAAGGTACACACATGTATGCAAACAATTAAGTGAAAAAGTGATGAATTAATTAAAAAAAACGTGTCAAATGCGGCATTCAAGGTATAGTTTTCATTTTGGGGAAAAATGGTTGTTACCATCATTGTCTACATGTCTTAAAGTGTGGGAAATAAATTTAAAATGTCAAAAAATGATGAGAATTAAACTGTAAAAAATTAAGTGAAAAAATGGGTCTAATTTCAGTATTTAAAATGAACCGTTGAGTTTTAAAAAAATTGGATTGCACCATTAAATTCTACACACATTGAAACCTAGGAAATAATTTCAAAATTTCACAAAAGCATAAAAAATAAGGTACATACATGTATGCAAACAATTAATTGAGAAATGAGTGAAAAAAAATAATTAATAATCAAAATTCATTTTTATGAAAAATGGTTTTTACCATTAAATTCTACGCCTTTTATAGTGTAGGAAACAACTTTAAAAATTCAAAAAAACTCAAAAAATAACCCATAAAAAATTAATTAAAAAACCGCATCTAAAAGCGGAAACCACATGTGCTTCGGCGCATCAAAAGCGCGTCAAAACGCGGAAAAACCGCGTTTTTTTATTAAGGCCCTTTTTCAAAAGCTTTGCTATTCATTTTTGGGGAGTGGGAGTGCTCAGAGAAAGAAAGATTGGGAAATGGGAAGAATGATTATAAATGAAAATTTTGGAAAAACTGGTTTTCAGATGGCTTCAAACAGCTGTTGAGTGGGGCATTCACCAGCCCACATTGCAGCAAAGCACTAGAATTTACTGTTTTGGCTCCAATCTGGACCACCAACCTGGGTAAACCTTTTTTGGTTCCAATTTTTTTCATTTATAATCATTCTTTCCATGTTCCATTCTTTCTTTCTCTCAGCACTCCCACTCCCCCAAAATGAATATCAAAGCTTTTGAAAAAAAAATTGAGTTTATTTCTTATTTTTCACAAATTTTCAAACTTTATTTTCCGCTTTTATTATATTATATTCAATTTTTGGGAGCTCTTATGCACCACCTGACCAAGTCTCCAGCACGTTCAAGTTTGTGTTTCAGAGCTCTGGAATCCAAAATAAGCAGCCACTTTTCACTGTCTACCCACTGTACACCCATCCAGTTTTTTTTTTTGAAGAACAAAATCCCCAAAATTTTACATCACAAGATAGGTAGAAATTTTGGGCTTTAATTTTTTCTTTCTTTTATGTAGTTAAATGCATTCTTTGATGCCAAAGTTCCACTTCTTCACCATTCATCATCAACATGAGTTTATTGGTTTGACTAGTGCATTGTAAACTTTAAAGGAGTGGGAAAAGAACTTTGATCTACCCAAATGCACACAGTCTGTTAGGAGGAACCAGCATTGTTGGTGTTATCGATTCCATCTGACTATCATTTCAAACTTGGACCATAACTCATTATTCAATGATCAAATTGATCCACCATCAAATGATTGGTCACTTTCTCAAATTAGATCTCAAGCAGTGCTTGGAGAGACTTATCTGCATAGCAATCAAGGTAAACTCCAGTCTTAATTGGGGTTTGAAGAACAATTGATCACAAATGGAAAGCATATTCAATTTCAGCTAACTGAGCTTTGGCCAGTTGTTTCTTATACTTTCTTGCTACCATCACACACAGAATCAACTCATTTTGAAAAATAATTACCTATCACTGACTCTATGATTTGTGAAGGAAGCTCAGTGGGATATAAAGCCATCTCATTCATTTCCTCAGTTCACCTTCTTGATGAATTTAGATGGATGTTTGCAAATTGGAAAATGAAAATGACCTCATGGCTATTTGTTAAATTCTCGGCTTCACTCCTATCTGCAACCACACATATCATCTGATTGGTACAATTCATGTCACAGCCATATTCCTACTATATCGGTATCCTATACAATTTGAAAATAAGGATCATACTTGTTGACATATTTGATCACAGACTCAGAATAGATATGCTCTTGTTTCTTTGAAAGATGTAAATTTGGAGATGGTAATTCCTGATCAAGTCTACAAAGTAAGAAGTCACATCACACGAGTTCAAAACTATCATCAATCATGTAATGGAGGCGGTGTAGGTTTTCAAGTCAAAAGTATTCTGACTCACTAGTATTTTCGATCATTGAGAGCTCAATTATACCGCACGTTCAAATGCGAGTGACCGCCCAATATAGCCACAAAACCTTTCTCTTTCCGTGGATGTACTCATATTGAGTCCCTTCTTCTGACTCTCGCATTTCTGCAACTATCTTCACTGTAGAGGGATCGAAGACCTTCTGCCACAAAGCTTTCCAGGACTGGGGTGGGGTGTCATTGCCATTAACGTAGAGATTCAGGATGCTATACTTAGCATCTTGTTTTTTCTGCAAACGTAGAGAATATGAAATGGAGCACGCTCCTCACCTCGACAGAATGACTGTACCAATGTGCTTCAGCGGCGTAAGGTCTGTTTTTTTTTGTTCCCCAAATCAATACATATTTATCTCATCAAGATGCCCACCAGGGGTAAGCGTTATAAAATTAAGACGAACAACTTTTGTATACCCGCATTTTCACTTCCGCGATGTTGCCCAAAGATCGTGCTACCAGGTTGGTTCGAGAGTAACAAGGCGAAATACTCGGCTAGGCGCTCTTGGTCTGCTTCACCGAACAGGTGAAACATGAAATTGGCAGAAATGATGGTGGCACGTCCTTTTAAGGCATTGAGGTCCTTCAACGAGAAAAGGTCAAGCGAGTCACACTGGGCCGACGGCGGCTTGGTGGGATCGAAGACTTCGGGTTTGAAAATGTCTCCAATGAAGTAAGGGATAGGTTGATCAACGCTTTTGAAGAGCTCATTGCCCAACTCGATCCAACCTATAAAGAGGGACATGAGATGACAAATCTTGGATTGATTTAACATTATGGAGAGTAGTGAGTTAGTGCTTACTAGGTATAATATCAATTGCCAATACGTCCTCTCGCTTCCACCCGTCCAGAACGACTTGCCTCAAATCAGATCCCACTTCGATTCAGATCAAATCGAAGGAATGCGTCAGAAGTTGAAGAATAAAACCCGAGAGTTGTACAATAGCTTACCGTTAGCTCCGAAGTCTACAAATATCTTTTGCGCAACTGACTGATTCTTGGCCGATTGAATAACCTCCTGGTACATAGGATGGTTAACTATCTTTCCTCTGACAAAATCAAAGTCTGTCGAATTTCGGATGAATTCAAACAAAAAAAAAAACAGGGTGGAAACAAGGCAATTAAAATGTCGAACTAGAGTCAATGAGACGCTGAAGTGTTATATGTAGTATAGTAAATTCGAAGTTGCACTGACTCCAAACACATGGGAAAGGGAATAGCTCGTATATTTTCTCCTGGATACGACATATGTGCAGCTTCAATTTTTCATCATCCTCGATTCCCGTTTTCGACTTGAAGAAGTTCAACTGGTCCAAAAGTGATGGGTTGTCAAGTGGATAACTTGGCTTGCTACCCTCAGGAGGCGAAGGTAATCTCAGTATGATAGACATCCTGTTTGATGGTTTCTAAGTGTGATTTGAGTGAGTTGTGGAAAACCTTTTGGCTTGCCACTGCACACGTTTTTTATAGGAAGAAAGGTCCTCTCAGATTAGGGATCCTTTGTTCCGACTCCTCCGAAAATACCCAGAGCCAATGAAAGATTGGTGGGCTTAGGCTTTGTATCATCCGGTCACCAGCGTGCCGGACCGAGGACTCTCAAGGACACGATATCAAAACCGCTCCACATGCTCACCTGCACTGGAAGAAAGCTCGGGATTGTCTGATCAGCACCGCAGTCATATCCAAATCGTAATGCTATCTATCTAGATTTTGTTCAGTCATGAGTCGATGGCTTGGCTCACTAGAGCATAATAAATATCTGTTGGTTCGACCTTTTCTCGGTGCTAACTCAAGCTTATTGCGCCAATCGGAGGCCTCACTGAGCCTGGCACAACATTGTAAAATGTTTGCATTAATGTGTGATGTATGTATCAGGCTCCTAGCTGGGGTCTGAAGCCGAAAGCTTGATACGGATCCATGAAGATCCCGACTCACAAAAATGGCTCTTTTATCTTTCTCACATCAGATCGATCGCACACATACTTCATTTTTTGAAGGTTTCACCGGCGCATACAGGGTGGATATGAGTGCTAAACCCAAATTTTTTGCGCGGACAACTCCACACCTCCAAACACATCTCTTTTCTCCCCGTGATGAGATTATCAAACAGTTGAGGGAGGGCACATAAAAAATAATTTCCCTGTGGCACTAGCTTAACAAACCCACTCGAGCAAGGGAGCGCTCTCCATACGAGAGAGCGGGAGAGGGCGCGAAGCGCCCAGCGCCAGTGGCAGTGCTTTACAGGGACCCTTTAACAGGGGGGGGGGGGGGGCTTGTGTTAAGTTAGCCTTACTTTGTGATACAAATCATGCTACAGGCATTCTGATGGCTCAATGTTGGCATCATAGACACCATGCACAAAAATGAAAAGAGAAAAGATTCCCATAAAAAAATTATAGCAATACATAGAGTGGCAGAGGAGCTCAATGTGCAAGAGGAGAGCCTCAAGAGGGGTCTTTTTGTTGAATGTATTGAATATGGTTTGTTTGTCTACTTTCCCTTGTCTATTCAACAGCAGGGTCCATGATTGAAATTTATTGAATTTTAAAGCTTATTTTAAGGTGTTTATCTTTTTTAAAAAAAAAATTGAAAAATTGTGTGGACTGTTCAAAAAACCCCGGATCCATCCAACTCATATATTTTTTCAAAATGTGGTTGATAAGGCCTTGAAATTGGCTTTGAAAATCTCAACATTTCAATCATGAACCCCACTGATGAAAAAATTTGGTGTTTTACATCTTATTGACCTTAGGCCCATTCAAAATATCAAAGATTTGCCCAAGTTCCAATCATAGGGATGGCTAGCACAGCTTCCACTAAGCTATAGTAATTTCAGGATAAACTGAAGTAATATGAAAAAAGATATAAAACTCTTATATGTTAGAAAGAATGAGTAAACAGGAAATTTACAAAGACAAAAAAATTGTTGGAGTTAGTAACTCATTTCAATTCAATATGAAAAAGGTTGAAATTCTCTCTTATAACTCATTGTTTAGAAACATTATCCTCCTCTTTGATGTTGTTGTTTATTTATACAATCATTCTCCAAGTATTTCATTAGCTATTTAGTATTAGGTATATTTGTTTGTCACACACATGTATGATGTAGTGTAGTAGTCAAAACATAACTGTCTCATTCTCTGCTCAAATGGATAGTCTAATTGACAGTTTTGTATTTTATTCAACTCCATTATTTTATTCATAATAATCATCCACATGTTGAACTGATTTGTATTGAGTCTATCTGACCTGGTTATCAACAAGTGAAATCAATGATCGGTTCTCATGATCTTCAAAGTGATTGATACTCTTGACCCCCCCTCTGTGAGTATCACATTGAGACCATCCAAACCTCTCCTCTTGAAATTGATCTCAGGCAGTTGAAATTTCTTCTCCAACTTGAGAGAAAACTTGGAATTACTTCAGTCCATCTGCACACAAAACTTCTTCTTAGATTAATTTTCTTGGTCATGGGAACCTGTTGAAAGACTGTTCAAGTTTGTTGGTCCAAGGAACCAAACAATGATTAAGTTTGAACCCTGGCGTGGTATTGTAGTGTAGGGCCAGAACAGAAGATGCTGTAGCTATACAAGTTTATTCTCATCCAATACAACTCAATTTTATGGGGAAGGGTGAGAATAAATTTTCTGGTAAGGCTACACACAAAAAATGGTACTTGTCAGTTAGAAGGAGATTTTATCCACATATAACTAAAAACAATAGGCTTAGAGAGCCAAACAAACTGTCATGCAATCTAATGCTGGTGTTGACCTCCAATTCACATTTGTTGATGCCAATGTTAGACCAAGACAGGTGCTCAATTCAAGCAACACCCCCAAAAGGGGCAAAAAGAATATGTATCACCATGTCATACTCCCCAAAATTAGGGGCATTTACTAGTTTGACAATAAGAAAAGGGAAAGGGGTGTGTGTATGTACAGTGGGAAGACAAACATATTTGCATTTTCATTTTTCCAAGGGACAATGAGGCCTGATGAGACCGTTACACCTTGGTCTTTTTTCTAAGAAGAATGGGTGGTGAGAATGCTCAATTATCTACCCAACTGTGCAGCTACTTATCACAAGTAGAAGGATTTCTGGTCCAGTACACAATGGAGGACTAGTTCCCTGCCTATTGGATCTGAAATGCTTGTTGAGTTTGATGGTCTACCTCCAAATTCCAAACTCAAGTTGCCAATGAGAGCCACGTTCTGATCATGAGTAGAAAAAGAAAAGTTCACAATCTAGTTGATTTATTACAAAGGAAGGCTAAGTCAACAAGCCCAGAATATAGATCACTGGGAGGCCCTCCAATGGAGGACTTCCTGTCAGAATCTTTGCCCCCCCCCCCAGTTTTGATTTATAGCCTCCAAAGCTAGATTTCCCTGTGAAAACCTGGACTTTTGGAAACTGGGAGGGCCTCAGATCTGACGGGAAGTTGTCCAATCAAGGACTTCATCCCATCATCCAAACTTGTGGATTTAGAAGGACATCCTCAATCTTCACTGCATGTGAAACTTAAAATCAATCAAGATCAAGTTTTCACTAGCCAAATTAACAAGCCCAGAATATAGATCATTGGGAGGCCCTCCAAGGAGGCCTTCCTGTCAAAGGAATTCATCCCATCATCCAAATTTGTGGATTTAGAAAGACATCCTCAATCTTTTCTTGCATGTGAAAATCAATCAAGATCAAGTTTTCACAAGCCATTAATAGAGCCCCCCCCCACCCCCCTTCTGCCAAATCAAGCAATGTAGGCAACCACAAGTCCTCTTTTTTTCATTCTGGTCTAGAATCACACTTTTTGGATCCACAAAAACCAGACAAAATCTTCATGCTGGGTCTTTGATTCAACATGAGAAAAACAAAATAACATACAGAAACATTCAGGTTTACATCCTGATGAGAATCATCCAGAATGATCATTAAAACTACTGCTTTTTTTGTTAGTACATCTTTCATTATAAATACATTGTTCAGATAACTGATATTGAATCAGGCAAAAAAAGAGAGATTGGAGATAGATAGATTGAGAAAACAAAGATGATAACACAAATCTGCAACTATTAATACATACACCAAAGAAAAAGAGACACGTTTTGCAGATCTTTAATTCTAGATGTTTCCTCAATCATCAAATAAATCAAAGACATCTTGGTTGGTGAACATACACAACCAGAAAAAAAAGAAAGAAGAATGGGTTCTATAAAGCTGCTTTTTGTGGTTTGATTGTACACATTTATATGTAGAAGGGAGAAGGGGAGAAGGAGAAACAGAGAAGGATGGATCAAAGTATATGCTTCATGTATGGAAGAGAAATAAAGAAATAAATTAAGAAAAAAAAAACAAGTCTTGTGCAAGTGCATCTTGTTTACACATAACTCTATATTTATTGATTGAATCTATCGATCTATCTGTCTATCTAATTATGTAAATTTTTTATATGTGATGTATGTGTAGGCTTCTCATTCATGTACAAATAAATTGAAAAAAAAGAGCTGCAAAGGTGACAAGTTTCCCAAAAAAAAAAAAAGCGTTAAGAAGATAAAAGAAAAGGACAGATAAATTAGTCAAAAGAGTAAGACATCCACACACAAGTCCAAAAATAGAACAAGGAGAAGAAAAAAAAAACTTGTTGCTTTTTTAAAGTTCAATAAGAGTAAGTAAAGATCTAATTTTTCGTTAATCATTCATGGAGAGGGGGAGAAGAGGAAGAGGACGAGGGAGGGGCGGAAGAGGGAGGGGAAGGAGAAGAAGATTTCGGGGAGGGAGGATTAGAAGGATTTGAAGTGGGAGGAAGGTCATCAGAGCTTGAAGGATTAGATGTGTGATTATTATTAACAAAGAGTAAGACCTGATCGACATTGGCATCCAAGGTTGAATGTGGAGGTGGATGATGATGATGGTGAGAAGAAGAAGAATTGAAAGGGTCAGCTGCAGGGAATGAGTCGAATCGTTCAGGGGTAGGCGTTTGGAGCGAGATGATTGGCCGCGAGGGGGAGATCTCTTTGGGTGATGATTGTTGGACTGCATCATCGTTTAAGATCGATGGGGATGAGTTGATGATGATCTGGTTGAGTTGGACAGCGGAGGTAGGCGTCTTTTGGTGATCGCTGTCCGCGGGTTTTTGTGTCTCGCCAGTCGGGATTCGAGAGAGATTAGCATCGTCGTCAGTACCGGAGAGGTCGCTAGTGTTTTCGAGCGAGTCTCTCGTGGAGCTCGACTCAGGATTGTTGGACTCCAAGCGGGCCTTCTCGCGGATCTGAGCCCCGCGGGCCTTATCGGAACTCAAGTGGAGATGGTCGGCAACTTCCTTGGCTTTCTTTTGGGCCAGGGTGCCTGTGAAGGACATCATCGGCTTCCCTCCCGCGCCAAGATAGAATCCAGCCCCAGCGGTGCTTCCCGCTGGTGGAGGATGGCCGAAGCCAGCGGGGACGGATGCCGGCAAGGAGCGGTTGAGCGAGTTGGTTGAGATGTTGGGACGCGAGAAGCCGGAGAGCCAGGCCATCGAGCCCCATTCGAGTAGCTTCTTCTCCAACCAGGCCAGCGAGACTGGCTTCGTCAGGAAATCATTGCAGCCCGCCGCCAGGGCCACCTCACGATCCACGTCGAGTGAAGAGGCCGTCAGCGCCACAATGATCACTGAAACATTGTGAGGTGTCATCCGCGGCATCGTGTTGGGGGCTACTAACGCCGGTGGGGTGTTCCCGCCTACGGCTGGCGGCGTATTCGCAAATGCATTGATGTTCACTGAGCGCTCGGCCTCTCTTATCTCCTTCGTAGCCTCAATCCCGTCTTTGACTGGTAATTGTAAGTCCATCTGTTCGTATTCAAGAATTTTTATTAGTCAAAATAAACCTCAATTCCTTTTACTCGAGTGGAATATAACCAGAATGAAATGAATGAATACGAACCAAGACGAGATGGAAGCTACCAGTCCTCCACTTATCAACTGCTTCTTGTCCATTCATAGCGACATCGTATTTCACTGACTTTTTCCGCATAAACGTAGTCAGGATGGTCTGATTGATCCGATTATCTGATTGAGGCAAGTCATCAGTCCCGCAAGAAGGAAAAAAATGGCATGCTGGATATGTGAGGGGAGGGGGATTACAAACCTTCAACGATTAGGACATTGATCGGCGGAACAAGAGCAGTCGTTGGCTTTCGGGAGACCCTTCTGCGACCCAGTCGATTAGCAATCATCGAGTCACCCATCGAAGTGCTTCTCCTGCTAGCAGCGATGAGCGCGCTGGTTGACTTAGAGAGGGCGGCGCTAGGGATCTCGTTGACGCCCAAGGCTGTCGAGGAAGACTTGTGCTCATCAACCACGCCCGGACGATGGGTTGGAACAGGCGGCGAATGTTGCGAGCGCGATTTACCCACACATGCTGATTCATTGGAGGAGCTCGGGAGTTGCGAAGTCGGTCGTCGACGGGGAGAGGAGAGGGTGACAGAGATCGAAGTGGGCAGGTTGGCGGGGATGGAAGGCATCCTGAGCATGGGCAATGGGCGCGGATTCAGCAGGACTTGTTGCTGCTCTTTTGTCAATGAGGACAAGCCTGTTTGGGTCACGTTAGGCGTCACCGGTGCCGTACTCGGGCTAGGCGTAGGGGCTACCGAGTGAGACGATGAGCCAGAGCTTTGGCGCTGTTGATTGGCTGCATAGAGGCCTTCAGGGAACGGTAGCGAAGGTGTCTTGGGGGAAATCGCTTCGTACTGAGCTAAAGCTATTGCGTGTGGAAACGTGCTATCGGGTGGATCACCTAATATAGGGTTGGCGCTTAGATGGCTGCTTCGGACTGATTGGCCGAGCCGGTTCTGGTTCGAGGGAGTAGATGTGTCACTCTTGGCTGTTGGATCGTTCGACCCCGCGTTAGAGAGGGATGATGGAGACTGGGTCCTGGCTGTACTCTCAGCACTAGCCATGACTTGTTGGGCTAGAGTCATAGGCTCCGTATTAGGTTCTACACTAATCATTTCCCGGAGCATCGGCCGACTGGAACTGCTTCGTCCCTCAAGTTTCGGCTTGCCACTAGTCGAGCCACTCATGTGAGAACTTTGGAGAGCGCCATGGATCGAATGATTGAAAAGTTCATTTCTCAGTCGATTGGAGGACCCAGAATGATGGAAAAACATGGCTTGCGGACGTCCATCGGGTGATTGCAAGACTACACCGGTACTAGAGCTGCCTCCATTCTCTGTTGCAGCTTTTGAGAAGTACTCTAGAGCTTCGTGTGAGAGTAAGGCTGGTGAGGGTACACCTGGTGTTCCCGGGGCAGTACCGGGAGTTCGCAAGCCGGGTGGTGTCAAATTTTGAATAGATGGTTGCCGAGCAAGGCTTGGGTTTTCATTACCCAGATTTGCGTCATTCTTGAGATGATTTGCGGCAGCTGTATCGAAATCGGTCACTCCGAGGTAGTTGGCTGGACTGGCCTTGCCTAGCTGACTGCTACCCAAGGGATGACTGGTGGAGTTAAGGTAGTGAGGTGTACCAGGACTGGAGGGTGAAGTAGCGATGGGAACAAATTGAGGTTCGGTAATCGGTCGACTTAGTGCCGTGTGTAGAGCTGTCAGAATTCTTCGAGGTCCGATCGGCTTAGGAATAACGAGAATATCGGGAATGGAAACCCCACTGAACCCCGTTGAGATGCTTGCGAATGATATCTTGAACTTTCCGGAAGTTGGAGATACTAGTAAAAATGGATGACAGAGGTGTGGATCTGTTTTGGAGGTCCCCTCGAATCGCTCGATTTGATTGGAGGATTTCATGCGACGAGACATCCAGTGGACGCTGAGATGGTTGATTGGGTAGAACATGGGCCGATAGGTGAAGCAAACTTGTAGGCGAGGCTTTCAGCTTGAGCAGCTGAGCTTTCAAGGTCGTAACATCATCATCAATGATAATGAAGTTGTTGGATCGGATGGATCTGCTGCTGGCGCTGGAGGGAGGTACGGTGGGCCCAGATGTAGCAGCTGAGATTGCAATTGTGATCGTCAGCATCAGGTCAGATTGATGAGGTTTCCTAAGCTTGTGGACGTACGTTTCTCTGCACCATTTGCGCCAACTGGGGCAGACATCTCTGCTGATGAGTTGGATGGATCATGTTCACCTTTCTCGTACGGCATATGTGAGACGTCGATATTCCAGCTGGTAAGATAAGTGGTGATGTGTTTGGCAAAAATACTCTGCTCGGCAGCAAAGAAGACCGCCTTCTTTCCTTTCAATGTTGTTTCGGCAAATTTAGTTAGCTCATCCGCCTGGACAATTTGGATTATCAAAAGCATATTCAAACGTCAATCAGGCGCACGGTGAATTAAGGAGTGGGATTAGGGGAGCATATGTGAATCTTACAGTAGGCTCCCTACTAGGTGTGACAGAGGCATAAGCAGAAACAGAAGCTTGAGAATGACCGGCGTACGACTTTCGAGATGTCCCATCAGCATCATCTGATTCTCGCCCGATCCCTTTACCGAAGATCCCAGTGACTTTCCAGCTGTGGCCACTCGAAGTCAGTCTGCCAGTACTGAGTTTCATTCCCAAGAGTTTCTCAAAGATGATTTTCGAGAGCGATTCCTCGGGACATAGCGGGAGTTCTGAAGTCAGATTGGAGGACATTCGTAGACGGGCTAGTGTTGCGGATGCACGAAGCTGAGCACCAATCGAGGCACGCCGGTCGGCATCTGGATCGGGACTTGAGATGTTCTTGGTATCAACAGTAGCTTCGTTCGAGAGGTTTGATTCGTTCTGAGTGTCCTGCATGGTTTGCGGAGATGAGGATTTAGGTAGTAGGGGAGGCATGAGAGACACGTCAAAGACGCATTTCCAGCTGGTACAGACTGAGTTATCTGGCATAGAGGGGTCTTCTTGATGAGTAGCTGGGACAGGATCTCGTTGATCTTCAGTTCCTGAAGGTTCTGATGGTGCTTGAGAATGTAAAGGAGTGAGATGAAGACCGACTTCTATCGTACTCGATCGTTTTGCTCGATAGAGGATCTGCCTGAGCAAACAGGTAAGGCCGATGATCAAACCCTTTTCGTCTGCCTTGACTGAGATCTCTCGTAAGCCACCCTCCCCATCTGCACCAGCACCTAAGAATGGGTTGGGGGTCTCAGGTGATGGATCGATGTTGGGTCGACTGGCTGGTTCTGTTGAGTGATGGGTGTGGGCATATTCGGATGAGAATGAGAAGTGATGATCTGGTGATTGTTGTTCTTGTTCACGGGCAGCATTGAGAAGGCCTAATTCGCCAGCCTCTGGCCGAGGAGGATAGAAGATGTGATAAAAGACAATCTCGACTTGAGATTCCGAGCTGATTGCTGATAGGATATCACCGACATGTTGCAAGGTATTTGCGAGATCGAAACTTCCAAGACCTTGAGTGAGATTGTCGGGAATTTGTTGATCTTGCTGTTGCTGTTGTTGTTGTTGTTGTTGTTGGCTTGAGCTAGGGGTTAAGGATGGGGTGTGAGTTGAGTAAGAGTTATAGCTGATCTTGATGTTTGGGTCATCAGTGATCAGTTGACGTTCTTTGATGTTGATCCATTCGATACAGTTCAAGAGCCTCCAGATGCTTGAGATCGAAGTGATCGGTAGGGCGATGGAGGATGCACTGAGTTGTTCGATGGTAGTGGGAAGGTGTCTAGGAGAAGGGTTCGAGGAAGTGGTTTGATGGATGCTAGCAGGCTCATCCGGACTGGGTTCGTTGGAAGATTGTCGATAGTATTGATTATTCTGAGAGAGTTCGTATTCATCAAATATTCTGAATGCATCGGATGAACCGAAACAGCTGGAGTGGACGCCAGAGAGGAGTTGGGCGGGTGCCAGTTGTGCTAGGGTGACGAGTGCAGGTTGGGTGAGCAAGGAATGAATGGAGCTTGTCATGGAGACGATCGAATTGGATGGGCGAGAGGAGGAAGCAGTGAGTGAGCCCATAGGTTGAGATGAGGCGAGGAGGATTGAGGTAGGATCTGCTGATAGTCGTCTTTCATGATGATGATGATGATGATGATGATGATTTCGGTTTGAGGGTAGCTCGAGATCGGTGAGGGATGAGTTCTCGGTTGAGGTGCTACTGGTCTGTTTGTGGTTCTGATTCCTTGAGGAGAGTGATGAGAGTGCATGAAATTTGAGTGAGGCTGCTTGACGGGCACGCGAGATCTTTTGACGGGTTTGAGTGTGAGTTGATGCTGAGCTGTTATCCAAGGATTGAGAGACTTGATGTGACTTTGATTTGGTGAGGTTGGCTGAGGTGAGTTGGGATGGTGGTAAGGATGCTGATGCTGATGCTGATGGATGATGCTGGTGTGAGGCTGGTTTGCTGCTGGTGCTGTTGTTGTTGTTGTTGTTGTTCAGTTTGAGATGGTCTTTGATTGATTCGAAGGTGGTAGATGTGCCTCGTTTGAGGAATGGTTTGATGAAACTTCTGAATGGGTCCCTTCGTTCGTTTGATGGGCTCGAAGTAGTTGAGTACTGGTTCTGGTTCTGGTTCTGGTTCTGGTTCTTCTGCTGGTGTTGGTGATGGTGGAGTGGTGAGGGCGGTGGTGAGGGGGCGACAGAGGATGACATGCTTGTGGGTTTTGTTGGTTGGAGGTTGAAGAGGAGTGGAGTACTCGGCCAGTTGACTGGTCTGCTCGAAAAATGATCCAGTGTTGCCTTCCAAGGGGGGTCAAGCCTACAGCCCAGCCGCAGCAATCAGCACTCCCAAGAAGTTCAATTTCTTGGAATCGTAGCTGCTTGAGCCTTGAAACACCTCCAGAATAACCCCAAAAACTCAACAAGTTACTTATAACAATCAGAGTATGTTATACCAACTGGAAATGTCACTGGATATGGACTCTCTTTGGTGGCTTGATTGGATATCAGATTAACAAGTTAAACCCTTAAGCACCAAACCAAGGCGCTTTTTGCACTTTAACCAGGCATTGCAATGTGCAATATTGTAAGAGACGTCAAGTCCTTACTCAACCTGAGCGCGTTCGTCTATACATCTCCTGACTGGAGACATTCCATCCTCTTATATAGTCTTCGCCCTCCTCCTGCTTGACTTGTATTGATTTTCATCTTTTGTTCTAGACTCACCTTTGTTTTCGCTCTCTTCATATCATTTCCTTTATTCAGACACCTAATCAGCTTCCAATTCCCTTTCCCGATACTTATTCCAGTCTTGAGGCGAGACACCAGTTCTTCTCACATAGTCTTGGCCTCTTCTTTTCCCGTCCATCGTATACACGCTTTCCTCTTTCATGCTAGACCGAGTTTTGTTGTCTATTACCATTTCCATCACTCTTCCCTTGCTAGACCCACCACTTGATTCCGCTTTGTTTTCGGTATTAAGTATTCCGCTTTGTATTCTCTTCATAATCATATTTTTCCTTTTCTGCAACGTTGCCTTTGCTCCCATTGTTGCTAAACTTTTTCTGAGACCTGCCTTGCAACCGTGACCTTCTGTCTATCAGTATCACTTGCCTTCTCTCAATCCTGTTTTTCCTAAAAATTCTCAATCACTTTCCATAACTTTTACCTATGGATTCTCTTAACCATCAAGCTGTGAATAACAACTCCTCACCCTCACCCGTTTCCAGTCATTTACTCAATCCTTGTAACATTCAATGCCGACACTGCGGCGCCCTTCACTGGCCCGAGGAGCTCGCTCTCATTGACTTTAAATCTAAATCCTATTCCTATTCGATGTGTTGCCAAAAGGGTAAAGTCAAATTGCCCTTTGAAGTTTCCTCACATGCAAGAATGAAGAAGAAATCAATTATAAGATGGTACTGATTACGAATGCCTCAGCGGAACATAAACTCGTACCAGGTTTTGTTTATCAACTCAGTGGTAAATTACTACTCCTGAATACGCCTGCACCCCCGATGGTGAACTACTTCCACGAGATGGTTAGTCGAGTATACTCTGAAGTGAACAAGCTAGAGCAAGGAGAAGAGAAAGTCTTCACCTTGGGCAAAGGTTTAGTAGTCACGGTGATGAAACCTAATCCAGCAGCCGAGGAGGATCTCCAACCATCTAGGAAGCAAGACCTAATTATTCTGGTTAATCACAGCGATTGGGATCCTACAGTTGAGTTCCTAAATAAGTTTTAAGATTGAGCAGTTACTGATGCATAGGGTTGCAGGAGAGAAGAGTCAAGTCCTTCAATGTCAAATACATGGTACCGAGTACTCCGAACTTAGTCAACACTCATACAATGTTCAGGAACGGTCGGGAATTTTTCTTAGATGGATTTGTGGTTGGTTGGGATTTGAAGGAGCATGTAGGCATTATAAAGGTAAATTTACAACTTCATGGTAGGCTAAAACAAGGGGATAATTTTTATACTTGGTGATGAAATTTAAAGATATCACATTAAGCCTAATAACATCAGGCCCTTTATGAGTTAATGGGTTTCAATTGAGATTTATCGTGGTGGCGAAGCCGCCATTAGACTCTAGTCTCAGTTGAGAGAGCAAGCTCTGGTGAATATGTACCTGTATGTAGCAACATCAGCCAAGTTCACATGTAGGGCATTTTTATGAAACTGAAATCATATTCAAGACCACTCACCATGTAGGAACACTCAGAACAACAATTCATGCTTCCTTTTTGTGTCAGCCTCTGGGTAACTAACCTGAGTATTTAATAGTAAAAAGGTTGTTACTATGAGTTGACTGAAGTTTTTGAGCGTGGTGAGTGTTAGGTAGTGGGTGATTAATACCAGTCCTGTAAAGAGGAGGTTTCACTCTATCAGTATGGTCTTTACTGAGAGGCTTGCTATCAACAGCGCATCCGGATCAATACAAGGTATTAATAGGCATCCAGGGTACTAAGACTCACCTGGGATTGATTTGGTTATTCCCAAAAGGGAATGGGCTAACAATACTTATTAAGCTTTAACAAAATTAGTTGAAGATTAACAGGTATTGTTGATGGGAATATTCAGCAAGGCTATGAATACTGTGGATAAGTTGAGTAAGAGTACTGAAGCTTAAGAACAATAAATGTAGACTAGATTTATGTTGGTTACGTGTACTGTATCAATATAAATGTTAACTGGTTTAACTGGTGTCTGAATATTCTGGGGATTAATCAGTGAAAGAGGCACGGATTATAAGTTCCAGAATACTGAAGGGGGGAAAGAATGAGCGCTCAGAATCAAGGGAGCTTTGGCCAGGAGAATGAGCACATCAATTGAGTGACTGATCATTATTTGTCATGATCTGTAAGTGACATCATAATTGTGTACTAGTTGATCAATGTACTAGTTGCTCTTGATGTGTGTACTTAACAGATCCTCTAATAATGTAGTCATAATTGGGATCAGTGTATGTATTGAATGTATTAATTCTATTGACACTTAATACTTACTATTTAATACATGTACATATTTATTTGTAATAATATTTGACCGTGAAAATACTGTAGAACAGGGATAACTTGTGGTACAGGTATTTCACGGGCAAAGGAGTGAAAGGTAAGTGATACTTACTTATGTAGAACACAGGTATGTATTTAATAGATAAGTAATTAACAGATAAGATACTGTAAGATAAATAAGGTAAGTTAATAATAATGATAAGATAACAAGAGGTAAAGGTAATCAACATTATGGATAAGTACTTATGTACATAAGTACAGGTGTTGCAGTTACTTGGTACATGAAAGGTACTGTGACATGTACTCTGTGGCTGACATTTTGAGTCATTCAGATTGAGTGGTCTCTGAAATTTCTGGACAGGCTCAGGAACACCTTAAAAATCACTGTCCTGTTGTTTTTGAGTCCTATTCTTGCTGCTTGTTTTTCATAAACAAGCCAAGTTTAACAGTAACACTCATACACAGTCTTCTCAATTTGGCTGTCTAACCTTGGAATTGAAATATGGACCACTAGTCTGTTACAGATTAGTACCCCAATTCCAGCAAGATGGTCCCCTTGTTTTGTCTCAGGGGACGTATTTCCTTTCTCAAACTGAATTTTAAATCAAGTGTGTGTTAGACCTTCAAGGGTGCAGGCAACTAAATCCTGACTGATGTAATTTTACAAACGGCAAGGCCCTCACTGGATAGTGCTTTTTATGTGATAAGTGACCAGGTGTTAGACTGTGTAATTCAGGACTAATTTCTTCAAAATTCACGTGATTCTCTTCTCCTTGTATCACAAATTAGTGATGAAGAATAGTAAAACAGGGTCTATCATTAATTGTGACATTTTTTCTTAAAAAAAGAGACACTTTTGATTGGGCTGTAGATCCAAACACAAACCCCTCCAAGCAAGGTGTGATATGTGCCACACCTACAACTGTCAACAACATTGAGCCATTGCACTACCCATAGTCCAGTCATTTAGTGTAGCTTGGCAGAGCTACACTACCAACCATGGTTTCTTCCTGGTAGCAAGCCCCTTTTGCCACTATTTCTAACAGAATCCCCAGGTAGTGGTAGCCAGAAGAGAGGCCTGCTATCAGTGCTACTTGGAAGTGGCACTAACTACACCATTAACCTGCTACCATAGATGATATTACAGTGTAGTGGCCCATATCAATGATATCTGCTAGCAGAAAGCAGAGGGCTAAACTATTGGTTAGTCACTGCTGCAGATAGGTCAGTGTAGTGGCCCATCATTGCCTACAAAGAAATGATGTGCTTGGTTACACACTATTATTCATGTTGAGGTTTATGGTCTTATTGTGATTAGCATTTTTTGGAATTCCACTGGTCCAGTGTCTCTTCTCTTTTTTTGTCTCTTGTTCCTGATGAATATGCATGTGTTTCTTCCAGCTTCTTTCCCATAGATCAGCGTCAGTTTTAATAATTTATAAGCTCTAGATTTAGATTAAAATCAAATCATCTGTTCCTCTGTGTGTGATCCCTGAGGCCACTCATACAGTCTCTTGTAGGATGCACACTTTTCTGCCACACAAGCTAGCAGAACTAGCCCTTCTAAAATGGGTCTCTTGACCTTTTTTCTTGCCCTTGAGTTCTCTAAGCTTTGTTTACAGGTCACTTCCTCCCCCTTCTGTGGCTCAGTCTCTAAATTTCATCAGTATTTTTGGTTGCTGGCTTCACAGTGGGCTTGCCTTACTAAGTACTTCTTCAAGTGTTTTTGTTTGGCCCAGCATGATTTTTGTCAGAATCTTAGCCTCTGCTAGAAAGAGTGTGCTCTGTGCCGCAGCTCAAACTTGCAGCTGGCTTCCCTTTTCTTGGAGAAACTGGGCCACATAGAACTTTCCTCATCTAGACACATACTAGAGTGGTGTCTTTAACAACAAGGCAACAGACACTTGTGACTGCCAGGGTAGTTGGTTGGTAGTGCTCACAGTTCAAACAAACAGCTCTCCCATTGTGTGTTGCAATGGTGATACATTATGATAGCAGACTATCAGACACCTCAACATGGTTTATAGATGGCCTTGCAGTACCTGGCACCCATTGGCAGGTACCCCTCTATCCCTGATGGTACCTGCCAAGTGGTTCCAGGTGTCTTTTTTTTGAAAAAAACATGTGGTACCTGGGTACCTTTAAGGCCCTCAAACCCCCTCCTTGGTGGGGGAGGACCCCTCCTCAGCAACCTGGTTGAGACCAATCCTACCACCAGTAAGGACCCTCCTTGGTGACCTTCTTGGTCCCAAGCAGGTTGCCATGAATGATCTCTGGCAATTGGGCACCGTGAATTGAAACCATAAGCAGGATATTCTGAACTTGTAAAAAAAACATATTGTTATTGCAAGTCCCCAAATGCAGGTCAGGGATATCCCCACTGCAATGGCGAGATCATGAAGGCCATCCCATTTGGGAAAGCGGCTCTTACACCAACTCACATTGACCGCTACCGGTCATCGAGAGGGCTACACACTCTCAAAGGCCGGTAACTTGACGGCTGGTGCCGGTCATTGAGAGAAGAGCTACACCCTCATCAAGGCCAGTATTGGCCATCAAGAGGAGGGGCTAGTCCCGGTTATCAAGACTGTAGCTCTCTGTACCTCTCCACCAGGAGAGGCACGCTCTTGACAGCGTCAAGCCGACACCGGTGATCAAGAGAGAAGCCACATTCTCTCAATGGCCACCACCGGCCATCGACACAAAAGGCATGTTCTCTCGATAGCCGGCGCCTCTCATCAAGAAAGTGTAGAGAACTGGGTGCGGCCACCCCTCTCTTGATGACCGGTGCTGGCCATCGAGAGAACATGACTTTTCTGTCGATGGCCGGTGGCCACCATCAAAAAAGCGTAGCGGGAGGGGGTGGCACTGGAGCCCTCTTGATCTCCGGGCTGAAAGCAACAACGGCAAAGCCCACCACCAGTATGTCGATCCTCAGGCTTGGATGATTGCTTGTGTCTGGTATCGAGTGTTGGTCTGCATTGCTACCGTGATGGATGAGCCAATTTTTTTTATTCTTCTTTTTTTCTATTTTGTATATTACATACCTAGATACATGTGAATATCCTGCTTATCGTTTCATTCTCGCTTGGGCACTGGGGTCAGAGTACTGCTGGTACCCACCTAGAGTACTGCTAGTACCTGCCAGATGGTTCCAGGTGTGGTACCTGGTGCCGGGTTTTGGCTCAAAAAGCAACCAGTACCTGGTTCCCGTGGGACCATCTCTAACATGGCTATTGGGAAGGTGGGGGCTGGCTTGGAAAATTTTGCCCAACCCCAAACCATCTAGCAATTGGGCCACACTGATAGTCCACCCAGTTGACCAGCAGCTTCCTCTGTTTGTTAACAGAGGACAATGTTGATTTTTTGGTGAAGCTAATGTAAATCTGCAGCCTGTTGGCACCCAATTTTCAGCCCACAGGAAACCAGGCCCATCACCTAGCCTGGAACTTGGGACCCCTGTGGAAAAGTACATGGCTGGTTCCTTCCCCAAACCCAAGTGGAAATGGACATCCTACTGGGTGGCTGGCCCAATAGCTATCCTTAAATGCAACATAGTATTTCTCATTTTAACATGCAGTACAATCAATGCTGCCACAGATACAATACGCTGTGTGTATCATGGAGAATTCTGCAAAGCTGCATGGCCAAAAACCAAATTTGTTGAATCTCCTTGCAAATAAAAGCAGATTGGTCAGATAGTTTTTTTTATTGGGGCTCAGATACATAGTGATACATGGCAGATACGGGCAGATACCGTATCTGTGGCAGCGTTGGTACAAATTACAATAGTGGAGTTCAGAATATTGCTGATGAAGCAAAACTTTTGGCATGTGTGAGAATTTTATTGGGTGCTGCACACTCAATTTTAGCTGGCAAAAGGTGTTTTTTGGTAGGCCATAAATGTTGCACACAGGAAAAAATAACAGGGGTGGGGATTGAGAAACATTATTGTGAACCCTCCCCCCCCAGTGTGTCAGTCCCACATGCATTACTAAATTTATAAACATGTGCCATAGCTTATCCTTTTCTTTGATTGTAGTATGTATTGACAAGTACAATGTCTAATTTGTGTCTTGCTGGGGACTATGTTTTCTCTTGGCAGTATGCAATTTAAAAAGGGGGTAGGACCATATTTGGCTGTGTAGCTGACCTGATGTCACCTCCCATTAGGTGAAATTGGAGTATTGTTGGAGAAGGTGCATGAAGAGAAATGTTTGAATTTGACTTTGAACCCTCTTGATACCAACCTCATACACATCAGACCCATTGACAATGCCAATTTTCACCAACTTGGGTGCCAATAATGATAATAACACCACACTTATAAAAAGTCATTTTTACCTATGGACTGGCCTTGAAGATGATTCATGGTCATGGACACAGAGATACTCTGGGAAGGCATCCAATAAGAGACCTTGTTAGGCCCAACTAGTACCTACCCATGGTGGGCATACACTGCAATAGTAATAGGCTAGTTTGAGGGTAACACAGTTAAGCCAGTATGCACTCAACCCAACTCATTATGTTGGCGGTGTTAATGTAGCAGATGCTTGTCCACTCGGGTCCAGCCATGAGTGTCCCACTGTGAGGAAGATCCAATTTATAATATCCTTGATTACATGATTTGGAGATGGCCTCTGTTTTCTCGGGTCCTCGCCAGACTGGATGCCAATGAAGAAAGTTCTGCCAGGTGGTGTTGATATAACATGATCCAGAGTAGGAGCACCGGCGCGGCGCGTGTCTGGATAAGTCTGCTACGTCCGCGACAGTGTATTCCGCCGGTGCTCTTCATGTCTGCGGCCTGCTGCACAACCCCGCAGCTGCTGAGGTTGGCAGAATTTTTTGATCAAGGAGTGATCGAAGGAAAGGCAACTGATTACCTCATTGCTTTCACTTGAACCACACGAAAAGGAAAAGCAAAACGAAGGAAAACAAGGCATTCACAGTACTCGATTGAAACGGGAACGAACGTGAAATATCCACTCAACTCGCTCCGAAAGTATGGCTGAAGCAATGTATGCCACGGATGAAGTAAGCTCAATCGTTCCTTTCTGGGCCATGTATCTATCAGGCCTCACGCCATGTCTTGGATGGAAGACTGACTGCGAGCTTCCTCCAGTACGGGCGACCGTTTATCATCATCAAAGACCAGGGCACTAAGACTAGAAGCCATGGGATCGAGGCCATCAAGGTTAGCCATCGAACATTCGAGGAAAAACTCATGTCATTTGGGATTTAGTCGATCGAGGCATTTAAATTTAAATCAGATTCTCCTTTGCCCTTTTTTGATCGGTTTCTTTCTAGTCTCATATCCTCGCCGCTCGCACAGTTTCAAATATACTCAAGACTTCCTTAGGACCCCGTGGATTAGATAAGATCTTAATATCACCCGATGGAGATATCACCGTCACAAATGATGGTAAACTAACTCATCTCCAATTTGGCTTCATCACTCTTGAATGGCGGGTGTTTCTGATGCTCCAATCATTGGTTTGATCCAGGTGCTACCATTCTCGGTCAAATGGAAGTGGAACACCAAATCGCCAAACTGATGGTACAACTTTCTCAGTCCCAAGACAATGAGGTTCGTCAGGTTTTGAAGCGCTATGACATTCCCATAAAGCCACCGTCCAAAAAAGTGCTGATCGATCTTTCGATTCTCCATGCATCTTCAATTCCTTTTTTCTGCAGATTGGGGATGGTACAACTGGAGTGGTTGTTCTCGCTGGCGCCTTACTAGAGGAGTCAGAGGCCTTACTAGATCGAGGTATTCACCCAATCAGGATAGCCGATGGATTCGAGAAGGCTTGCAACGTGGCCGTTCAAGAGCTTGATCAAATCAGTGCCAAATTAGAGTTCAGTAAAACCGACACAACCCAGTTAGAAAAGGTCGCCGCTACCAGTTTAGGTAGTAAAATGTCAGTCACGTCCCCTTTACCCAACTCAACCTTTATCTTATCGACGATTTTGTAGTTGATGCATTGCCTGCTCCCCTTTCCGTTTTACAACCACTTCAAGTGTCTCTAAATCAGGCGATCTATTCCCGAAAATTGCAGTCGAAGCTGTATTATCAGTTGCGGACCTCGAACGAAAAGATGTCGATTTCGAACTTGTGAAGATCGATGGCAAAGTTGGAGGTTCTTTAGAAGATACCCGCTTGGTCAAGGGTGTTATAATCGATAAAGACATGTCTCATCCTCAAATGCCCCGAAACCTCAAAGATTGCAAGCTGGCTATTCTCACCTGTCCATTCGAGCCACCCCGACCAAAGACAAAACACAAACTTGACATCACTAATGCTGAACAATACAAGAAGCTCATGGGGTATGAACAGGAGGTCTTCCTACAAATGATCAAGCGACTCAAGGATTGTGGTGCCAACTTGGTCATCTGTCAGTGGGGCTTTGACGACGAGGCGAATCATCTTCTCCTACAGAACGACCTACCTGCTGTACGATGGGTCGGTGGACCCGATATTGAGGTATGTAATAAACAGCTGTGATTGATATGCCCAAGTCCATCTATGACCATGCTCATCCCATCTTTGTGCACTGTCAATAGTTGATTGCCATCGCTACCAATGGTCGTATCGTGCCTCGATTCGAGGATCTAACTGCTTCTAAGCTCGGGACTGCTGGGGTCGTTCGAGAAATCGATTTTGGAACGACAAAGGAGAAGATGCTGGTAATCGAGGAATGTGCCAACTCAAGTGCAGTGACTGTATTCATCAGAGGCAGTAATAAAATGGTAATATTTATTTTCTGGGATTCACAAGAGCGATGATTTACTGATTTGTATATCTCTTTCACTTCGCTATAAGATCGTCGAGGAGGCCAAACGAGCTTTACATGACGCGCTCTGTGTTGTCCGTAATTTAGTTGTCGATGATCGCGTGGTCTATGGTGGTGGCTCCGCCGAGATTGCGTGTTCGATTGCTGTTGCCAAGGCTGCTGATGAGGTTTGATCGTTTGGTTGGATCTAATCAGTCAAAGTAGCTTTCTGACCGCTTCTTGGACTTATCTTCCAGATCCCATCGATCGAACAATACGCCATGCGGGCATTCTGTTCAGCCTTGGATGCTGTCCCACTCGCCCTGGCCGAAAACTCAGGACTCTCTCCCATCGAAACCCTTGCAGAGATCAAGAGTCGACAGATTGAAGAGAAGAACCCTAATCTCGGGATTGATTGTGTCGGCTTAGGGACAAATGGTTAGCTTCCACATGCTAAATCCCTTGAATGGCGTCTTTGCTGAGATGCTTCTCTCCTCTACTAGACATGAAAGATCAGTTCGTTATCGACCCTCTAATATCCAAACGACAGCAATATCTGCTCGCTACCCAGCTTGTTCGAGCGGTGCTCAGAATTGACGATGTCATTCACAGTCATGATGTTGGAGGGGAATATTAACAACAAAAAAAGAAACATTGCGGTATATTCAATTCAATTTCAAATTGGCTTCCATTATCACATATCATTCAGCCATTCCTTTTTTTTTTTTTTTGAGTGTATACGATATGATGTGTTAGTTTGCTAGATATGCCATCTGTGGCTCAATTCAACAAATAAATAAATTCAGATAACAATCACGTAGACGATAACTCATTCAACCTGTCGGTCTGGATCTTTGGACTGGTCACGGCAACTTTGTGGGCCTTCACGGGCTTGAGAGCTCTTGTGATGGATTTGATTCAGTGTCGAGTCGTCAGGACCAGCAAGTTTTATGATCCATATAAATACATACAAATCTTATCATGGATTGTGTCATGCCTTCCCAAGAAGTTGGAAAAGCGCGATGAGATGATGGAGGATGCATATTGGATACCATTTTGAATATGCAATATCGTGCTGTAGCAGCATACCACCCGGCTTACATAAGGTGTGACTGAAATGAGCCCAACCAATCGGAATCAGCACAACTCGATTGTATACCCAGCTCGATCACTCTACATACCACTACTCCCTTGTTAAGCTTTCTCGACCACGATGAATTGCCGGATCATCTCAGGAGTTCGTGGGGCATATTTAGGCCAACGAAGAGCTTTCGGTTCCTCAGTTCAGAAACACGGGTTGGTCTCTCAACCATTTAGATTTTTGTTACATGCTTGGGCTTTAGACTGATGATCCTCTGGATGCGATAACCCAAACAGACCGACTGGAGTTGTCTTCATGAACATGGGGGGACCGCGCACAGTGTCGGAAACAGGGGACTTCTTGTCGAGATTATTCCATGATGGCGATCTGATTCCGCTACCATTCCAGTCAACCCTAGCGCCATTTATAGCCAAAAGGAGGACTCCAAAGATCGAGAAACAGTACGAGGACATCGGGGGTGGCTCGCCCATCCTCAAGTGGACCCAAGAACAAGCATCAGGAATGGTCAAGATCCTCGACGAACTCTCCCCGGAAACGGCGCCTCATCGTCCTTACGTCGCTTTTCGATACGCTCATCCACTCACTGAAACCTGCTTAGATGAAATGAAAAGAGACGGCGTCACTCGGGCCGTCGCTTTTTCACAATACCCTCAATACAGTTGTTCGACTACCGGGAGTAGTCTCAACGAGCTTTACAGACAGCTCATCAAGGATTCTAAGGATGGCCCATCCCCAATCAAGTGGAGTGTAATCGATCGTTGGCCAACTCATCCTGGGCTGATTGAGGTATGTATGCACGGTGATCCAAGCTCAGGCTTCTTATTTCCACGCGATCATCTCATCTCTTGGTTGCTGTGTAGGCCTTTGCCGTCCATGTCGAACGAGCTCTAGAATCCTACGACCCGCTCGTCCGGTCCAAAGTCATCCTTCTATTTTCTGCACACTCCCTACCTATGTCCGTAGTGAACCGTGGCGATACCTATCCCTCTGAGGTGGCGGCGACGGTCCATGCAGTGATGAAGCGTTTGAATCATAGCAATCCATATCGGTTGGTTTGGCAGAGTCAAGTCGGCCCATCAGCGTGGCTCGGTCCCCAAACTTCGGACGCTTTGAAAGGATACGCAAAGAAAGGTGTCAACGACATGCTCCTCATACCCATCGCATTTACTTCAGATCACATCGAGACTTTGTTTGAATTGGACCTGGAATACATTGAAGAGGCCAAACAGGTACGGATCACTCAATTTTGTTTCAACTTCTGAGATTTTTTTTTGGCTTAACTCACATCGACTGCTTTCCTATCATAGGCGGGGCTGACGGGCGTGAAAAGAGTCGAATCACTCAATGCAGACCCTATTTTTGTCAGAGCATTGGCCGACATTGTAGCCGGACATCTCAAGACTTCTGATTCTTCGCCAACCAGTACTCAAATGACCCTACGCTGCCCCGGCTGTATCAATAACACTTGTCTCAAGTCCAAACAATATTTTTCACAGCAAGAAATATCATAATTTTAGCAGTCTTGAAGATATCCTCCAATTTTCATCCTGCAAAAGATGACAAGATTCTGGTTCAATGATTAAACTTAGTATAAATCTATTGACCATTTTTTAATTGTATAAAAATAAACTGTTGAAGATTGGAAACTAAAAATTGAAAACAACTGAAATTTTTGTAGAAAACTCTGTTCAAATTCCAATAGCAGTAAATTCTATTATGGCTCTGATGATTAGGGAATCTATATTCCAAACTCGATTATTTTCATGGGAAGGTACAGTTGAAATTGAAGAGAGAAAAAAATTGCCATCCCATTTTTTGTGTTTCCTGAGTGAATCCATGAAGTTTTAAATTCTATCATGTCAAATAGCAATAGCATGTGTACCTAAGTGCTTCCAAAACATCAGTTTTGGCTAGATTCCCTTCTGATGAAATTTACACATTAGCAAGCAGACCTCTTTTAAATTCATGTTTTTGGAATTCAAAGTGACATGCATACCTTCAATCCTTGTTATCAGCCAAACCACGAGTCATTCAGATATCTTCACCAGACACATCTGACCTAGGCTTCCATTGTAGTTTGGGGGAATGCTTATCATCACATGGGTTTAATAAAGTTTGAAATCAATACATATTTCAGCACGATAACCAAAACAAAAATTTGGAACTTTTGTGATTTAATATCTTGTATAAGAATCAATGCTTACAGGAGTCTTGAGATTTGGTTTGTTTGCTTGAAAGAAAATGGTTGAAGATTAAATGAGAGTGATTCCAAAATGAGCAAGAAATTAAGTTGGTCAAAATCATGCCAGGTGAGCAAAATTGTGATTTTGTTTTTTTTTTTCAAAAAGAAAAACCTTTTATCCATGTACCACCACCAGCCATGTTGTGAATGTATTGCTTTCTATTATGGGCTAAAAATCCTTTGCTTTGATGTTGCTTTTCTTCTACAGACATATCCATGTTTGAGACAGGCAGGTTTTGTCAATAGGTTAACTTAGCTCATGTATGTAATGATTGAACATGAATCATATAAGTCATACCTTTTTGCTTGCTGGGGCTAGCTATCGCAGTTGCTTGAATTTTCTGTGCAGGGTAATGAAGATTGCTTTGAGATTGAATTTCTGTATAATACCAATTGAAGTTTCTGAATGTGCTGCTGTTTTTTTCATGGTTGATCATGGATTGCAGTTGATACTTACCTGAATGAATTCCATTCCCTTTCATGGCTTCTAAATTAATGTTTTGAATGTAAACATATCAGTAACTCAATTTGGTGTAAAGATTTAGCAAGTAAAATCAGAGGGATGGATACCAGGATTGTTTTGGCTTGATTTAAGTATATTCTCAACATCATTGACTGCATCTTTTATTGGTTCATTCAAGATATTTAAATCATTTTCGTTGTTATCAATTTCATGTAGTTCATTGAAATCAAACCAAGAGAGAGTTACAATCAGCATTTATCAAAAATGAAATAGTGGCACATTGCACACCATGAAAAAAATGGCCATAGTAGATGGATTTACCATTGTGTTGTACCTCAGTTGTCTTGTGAACATCATCATAAATCCCTAGAATGATCTCAGATCAACTTTGGTCAGCTCTTAAATGCTGCTTTTAGTTTAATGAAACAAACAAAAAGGAGTGAGGCCAGTTTACCCTCAAAAGGATCCTCAGGTAGATAAACATGTTCAGCATACACGGGGTGTAGATCATCAGGGAGAAGGTCATAATCAGGGTGTTTTCCATTATCTCCATCAAAAGGATCCTCACGGAGATAGGTATGATCAGAATATACAGGGTGTAGATCACCAGGGAGCATTTTATAATGAGGGTGTTTTTCATTATCACCAATTTCATCTGATTTATATGTAACATATCAAAATATTAGTTCATATTTCAGAAGAGGACTACCAACAACAAGTCGTCCAACTGGAGAATTCTAGGAGATAGAAGAATAAACACACCATATTTCCTGGCCATCTTCCCATAATTTTTGTCCACTAATTATTCATAATGTTGGTCAGTCAAACATATTTTTGTAACTAGATACAATTTTACGTGCCTGTCAAATGCATATTCCCTAAACCATGAAATTTAGCAAACCAAATTTTTAGAAGTCTATGAGGAAATTTGAGAAAGGAAAATGCACATACCTCCAGCATTATCAATCTGTGTAGGAGCATTAGATTTGTGGGTTTCATATCTTGGGGGATAGAACGACGTGGGAGGTATTGGATGTCTGTATGGTTGGGCAGGATGTTGATGGACAGGATTTTGATGGACAGGTTGTTGATGGGAAGGATGCTGATAAGGTACAGGGTAATGAGGGACCAGAGCTTCTCTGAAATGATGAATGTTCCAATTGGAATTTCCCCTAATTTGGAAATGGCGCAGTTGATTAGATCTTGGGGGGTGTATAGGAAATGAACTTGGCTTGGTTTGAGGTTTGAAGGGTTGAGCTTCAGCCCTCAGTTTGCTGTTTAGGTTTGATGATCCTCTGTGATGCCAGACAATAAGGACCACTTAGGATTCGTCAGATGCAAGATGGCAGGTCCTCATTATTTATCAGGATATACTCACACTTCAGGAACACTTGGCAAGCCCCAGTTGATCCTTGGTCCAGTTTGATCAACAGCCTGTGCAACTGCAGTAAAGGAGATTCCAAAGTCAAGGAAAACTGCAATGTGGAGGTACATTTATAAAAAGCATACCTGAATGAACTGCATGTTGTTCTGGAGATAAAATTGTCCTCTCAGCACTCCAATCAACTACTTTATGAGCTGGGTTTTGATAAGTGGCTGCAATGAAGCTCCCATTGCTCCCTGCACAATATGAGAAGGCAAGGATAAGGCACACGGTCTTCCCATATCTAATCCCAGAATGGCTAGACATTGAGGTACTTGTTTAATGTAAGAGATATTAGTGTGGAGATAAAACTGGCTATGTGAGGGTCTAATCCGGGGCTATATAGAATTGCTGAGAAAACCACAGGAAAATTATAAAGAAGATAAAGGATTGTTCTGGTGGAATGGCCTGATGAGGTAGAAATTATAAATGGGTTTCCTTCAAGATTCCATTGGTTGCTCTATCTCAAAAAAATATCAGAAATAATCTCAAACGACCTCTATGAGGTTGTTAGAAAGCAAATAACATTTCAAAACCTGCTTTGGTGATTTCAATGAAGCAGTTAGTCCTGGCCTGAAGCCAGCTACACACTACAGCCATACAAGGGCATACAAAATACAGTGCGTGATTTTGAATGGATTTGCAATCACAGAAATCATGCAAATGGTCTTTCAGGTTTGTAATTTACCTATTTATGAAACATGTTTCTGACATTTTGCAAATCAAATTCCACATGAAAATTATATCTTTTGGTTTCAAAAAATGTCCAAACAATAAAAGAAACCCAAACTTCATTTATAATTGATGAAGACCTCTGTGGAGAAACTTTAAATCCTATTCTTATTACTTGTGAAACTTGCAAGAAATTATGAACTCAATAACATGATGCAATTGGAAAAGCATTACTGAAGATGTGACAGCTCTCTGTAACACCGTGGTATATAGTTTTTAGATCAAACTTCTACCTACTGTCAGTATTGATGTATTGCTGACAGTATTCTGGTCATTGTTACCTTTCTTTATTTGCTCCTGAATAATTTCCCAGAGAGCATTTTGGGAAGCATGATGCCTTGAATCTTGGATTCTAAAATTGAACCATGAAAGTATCAAATATCAAAATACCAAACACCACAACCAAGTCTTTCTCCAAAGCCACCCTGCACATTCAATACAGAGGTTTTTTTGAGAGCAATGAATGGATGTGACAGCTCTAGATAGAAACACTCATCAGCTATCAGAGTCCCTCATGGACCTTTTGCAAAGAAAATTAAATGGTGCCTGTGGTGTAATTTCAATTTCTTACTCATGCTAACATCTGTCCCATTAAATTTTATTAGTTTGAACCATTTGGATCTACACACTCACTGCTTGAATTCTTCTACTTGTGGTCTGACAATATCTCCTGTTGTGAAGGCTATTACCCAGCTTGTATTCAATGAAACCTATCTGAGGAAATACATCTTCTCTGTTGTACTTGTGGTCTTGATTATCTTTGAGTTCATATTCAATTCATTTTTGGGGTCTATGTTGTACCCCAAAAGATTTATTTTGATTTATTATTCATTATGATTTCTACCACAGCTTGAAGGAAGACCAAGCTTAGATCATTCACCTCAGTTATACCTTACCAAAGGGGGTTGGAACCAATACAACCCTTTTGCAGTGCCTTTGGTTTTGTAGCCCCTTGCACAAAACCAGATCTTTAGCCCCTTGAATCAAATTTCTCTGCAAAATCTGACCTCAGTAGGGCCAAATCTTAATCTGTAGGGTCTACATATATCAATGGGAAGTCCTACATCATAGCTGGACATTTGATGACTTCTGGTTTTGTGCCAAATAGTACTCAAATATGGAATAAAGATAAGGGATTAACAGTAGTATTTGTTTGCTTCTTGTGCGGCTAACAAATTCTGCTTGACTCTAATTTTTTGATTGAAATGAAGTTATGAACTGAAATTTAGAATCCGCAACACAACTGGGCATGGAATGTCTTGGCTAGTGCTTTATTTTTTACTTTAAAACAGCTATTCTGACCCCCCAATACACTGTTCAGGCTAGCATTTTTAACACATTCTGATTCAATCAACCGGCTTAAAGAATGTCTCTGCAAACTGGTGTACTGGTCAGTTTTTTGACCCAAATCAGGTGTTTGGCACCACAACTGGCACCTCCTGACAGGCACCGGCAGAAATTCAGGTGGGCACCTGTGAGTTGTTTTTATTTACTGGGGCCCTGCACCCAGAACTGGTCCATGCACTTTTGGACTTGTGAGACAGGTATTTCCCTGGGGAAGAAGGGCCTCTGGCCCGTTGGGTGCCTGCAGTTTAGTTTGAAATGCCTCAAATTCCTTTTGTCTTTGAGCCACCTCATCCAACTTGGGCAGCTGGGTTGGTACCCACAACTTTTCCTAAAAGCAATGGTGGGCGGCTACACTAACCATAGTTTTAGTGTAGCTAAAATGAGCTAACATTTAGTGTGGTGTTAGCAAAATCCTGCAATTCTGCACTAACTCTATGCTTGCAGGGTGCCAAAGATTGTTAACTTTTAGCGTAGCGTTAGTGTGATTCTGCGCATCTGTGCTAACACTACGCACATGGGGCACAAAAAAGCACCCACTATGCTGTGTAGCGTCTTTTTGGCCTTTATTGCTGCTAAAAGCACTGTAGTGTAGCGTAATGCAGCGTAGTGGCAACATTGGTGCACTAACACTACCCAAAAAAAGGTGCACTGTTTTTGCCGCTAAAAAGTAGCATAGTGTAGTGGGTGGTAGAGCAGGCTAACACTGCACAAAAAAAAACTGCTGCTACCACCCCTACACTAACACTAAAAGGCCCTTGAGCATATTATAGCTTAGTGGCCCACCACTGCTAAAAGAACAGGCACCTGGGTCCGGCACTGCCAAGCAGGTGCAGGCTGGGTGTGAGTGGTAACCACCACAGATCCATAGAGACACTTTTCAAACTGATTTGATTGAATTTATTATGAATTCATTTTCCATGTTTAAATTGTATGAAAATAAAATGCTGAACATTGGAAATTAAAAAAATTGCAAACAATTAAAATTTTCACAAAATACTTTGTTCAAATTTCACTAGCAGTAGATTCTATAATATCTCTGATGATTAGGGAAATCATTACAAATTTATCTATTTTGAACTCACTTATTTTCATGTGGAGGGACAGATCAAGTTGAACAAAAATAATTGCCATCCCACTTTTCATGTTTCTTGATCAAATCTATGGAGGTTTGAACATTATGTTTTATAAAAATAGCATTTGCATCTAAACTATTACCAAACATCAAAGCTGGGTAGAATCAGGAAATTCACACACATTAGCAAAGAGACCTTTTTGCATTCAATTTCTGGAATACAGAATACCATACCATCAATCCTTGTTATCAGCAAACCCAACAATCACTCAGATATCTTCACCAGGTGGATCTGATCGGGGCTTCCACTGTAGTTTGGGGGAATGCTTATCATCGCATGGGTTTGAAGTTTGAAATCAATAATAATTTCAGCTTGGTCACCAAAAGAAAAATGTGGAACATTTTTAGTTAACGTTTTGTTTATAAGAATCAATGCTTACAGAATGCTTGAAATTTGGTTTGTTTGCTTAGAAGGTTTGAAAAGTATTTGAGAGATATTCCAAAATGAGGCAGAAATCAACTTAGTCAAAATTAATCCATGTGAACTAAATTGTTTTTTTTTTCAAAGATACCTTTTATCCATGTACCACCACCACCGGCCATATTGTGAATGTATAGCTTTCCATTATGGGCCAAGAATCCTTTGCTTTGGTCTTGCTTTTCTTCTACACTCATATCTATGTTTGATAAAGGAAGCGAAAAAAAACGTTTATTCAATAAGTTTGCTCATTTATGTGATCAAGAAAGATGAAGCATACCTTTCTGCTTACTGGGGCTAGTTATTTCAGGTATGTGAGATTTTTGTTCATGGTCATCAAGATCACTTTTGGATTGAATTTCTGCTAGATAAGTACAGGTCAAAATTTGGGGTATTGAGTTTACAACATGGTGTACATGTGATGATCTGAATGGCTTTCTGTTTTTTCTTAGTTAGTCATGGGATGCAGTTGATGCTGACCTGAATGAATTGCATTCCCTTCCATGGCTTCTACATTAACATTTTTGAATGAAAATAAATCAGCAAATCAATTCAGTCGGACACTCTAGCAAAGAAAATCAGAAGGCTGAATACCAGGGTTTTTTTGGTTTGATTCAAGGATGTTCTCAACATTATTGACAGGATTTTTTGGTGATTCTTTCAAGATTTCTGGAGTGGTGTTTTGTTATCAAATTTCACAGAGATCAAAACCAGAGGGAGTTATAATCAGCATATATTGCATTGCACATTATGAAAACAAAACCAGTCATAGCAGAGGGATTTACCGTTGTTTTGTACCTTATCTGTTTTGTGTATATCATCATATATCCCTAGCATGATTTCAGAAGAATTTTAATAAGCTCTTGACTGTTTTAGTCTAATGAATCAAGCAAAAGAGAGTGGAACGGTGTTTACCCTCTAGAAGATCAGCTGGGAGAGAAAGATGGTCGACATATTCAGGGTGTAGATCATCGGGGAGAAGTTTATAATGAGGGTGTTTCTCATCATCACCGATTTCAACTGATTGATATGAATTATTTAAATATAAATGACGTATAACATAGCCCAATGTTAGCACATAATCCAGAAGAACACTGCATAACACAAGTCATCTAATCAGAGACTTATAGCGGGGAGAGATAGAAACATACCATATTTCCTGGCTTTCCCGTTATTTTTAACCTCTAACGATTCGTGATGTTGGTCAGTTAACCTTATCGTTGTAGCGAAATATAGATTTACGTACCTGTTGAATGTATATTCTCTAAAAATAAGAATTTATCAACACTAGAGTTATCCGGGAAACTCGAATTAGGAAGGTGGTACATGCCTTTTGCAGTATTGATCTCCCGTAGGGACAGCAAATCCGTGGGTTTCATATCTTGGAGGATAGAAAAAGGCCGGAGGAATCGGGTGCCCGTATGGATGGGCAGGATGTTGATGGGCCAGTGGTTGATGGACAAGCTGTTGATGGACAGGTTGTTGTTGAACAGTTTGCGGATGGACTGGACGTTGATATATAGGATGTTGATAGGGTACTGGGTAATGAGGGACCGGAGCTTCTCTAGCATGATGAACATTCCAATTGGGATTACCCCTAAATTGGAAGTAGCCAAAGTGATTAGGGGGGTGCGCAGGAACTGGAGCGGGCTTTGCGGGAGGTTTGTAGGGTTGAGCCCCAGCCCTAAGTTTGCTCTCGTGGTTTGGTGAGCCTCTACGATGCCAGAGAATAAGAAGCGTTGGGAGATTAGTGGGATGCAAGACGGGAAGGCCTAATCATAGGTTAGGATGGACTCACGTTTCTCCATCACTAGGCAAGCCCCAGTCGACCCTTGTTCGAGTTTGATCAACATTCTGCACGGCTATGTAAAGAAGATGCCAAAGTTAAGGAACATTGCAATGGGGAGGGACATGGTCGAGAAAGCAAACCTGAATGAACTGCCTGCTGTTCTGGGGTGGAAATTGCCCTCTCGGCACTCCAATCGACTACTGCATGGGCTGGGGCTCGATAAGTCGCTGGCATGAAGCTCCCATTGGTCCCTGCACATATGGCGAGGAGAAGACACAAGGTCCCTCCAGATCTAAGCTCAAAAAGTCCAGGCATTCGTGTCTTTGGTTAATGGAAGAGACCTCGGCGCGGAGAGAAAACTGGGTATATGCGGGTCTAATCAAGGCCTATGTAGAACGGTTGAGAAAGTCACAGCAGGGGAAGTATCATATGGATCAGGGAACGTTCAGGCAGGTTAAGGTGGGATGGCCTGAGGCGGTAAGGCCTGTCGGGTGGTGTTTTGTGTGGAGATTTTCTCGCGGAGAAACGTGAAACTTTATAATTCTTGCTGGTGAGGAAAGTAATGAACTCAATGACATGATGCCCTAGGCTAAGCATTACTGAAGATGCGACGGCTCTCTGTAACCCAGTGGTATGCCCAACCGGTGCTTTGCCTTGCTCCATTCGCTTCTGCAATATCTCAAGTTGTAATGAAAGGTCAAAGGGAAGTTGAATACTGTTTCAAGGAGTATGTTAGGGAAAATGATGCCATGAATCTCGCCTCCCAAAAGTGGCACATGTCAGTCTCAAACATTGCAATCCTAAACATTGTAATCCTAAACATCGTGGCCAAGTCTGTCGCCCAAGCCGCCCTGCACATTCACCGCAGAGGCTTTTGAAACCAATGAATGGATGTGACAGCTCCAGGCGGATACAATAAGTTTGATGATTCAAGTCAATTCCCGCAGTCACCCAAGGACCTTCCGCAAAACAGTCAAAGAAGCCTCATGTTAGAAATGTTCTGCCAACAACGTTCTCAGTTTGAGATGATTTGTTTAGACTGAAGAAATATTCAGCTACTTGAGATTACAATTCATACTGAGGTAGAGAGCAAATTTCAGAACGTAGACCGGGAAAGAGGCTGGCAAGAAAAAGTAAGTTGTACAAACAAAGTGTGATATGAAATAAGGTCGAATATTGAAGTGAGAACATCTTAAAACAAAATGGAAGCAAACATGCTGAGGAATCCGTATAATGCTACCCAAATGGATGACGAACAAACTCCAGATAAAAAATCGAAAAAACATGAATCTAATAAGAACATCGCGGTAAAAATCATCTGGGAGCCGCGAGACTCAACGAGGATGGTGGAAATTTTAGAGTGAAATGAGCAGCATGAGTTTTACGTTTGTCAAGATCCCTACCTCTCGGGCTATAGAAATCAATAAATTTTGTCTAGGAATATACATTGATGGCATTGGTGAATGTTGATTGACGTTGGTGATTCGGGTTGATTGGATAGTCTGATCCTTTAGGAGTGATTGATTCAACTCTTTCAAAGCTGTCATGATCACGCCCTGACGACTAATTTCATCAATTTTGGTAAACAAGATAGACAACACCTGAAAGAGCAAAAGATGAAGAGGAATGGATTGATTAATGGATTCAGAATTGAACCAAAATTTGAGATTTACAGTTCCGAATTGACTTACTTGCTGTTCCAGCCAGGTACAGTATCTTGGCAAGACGAACAAATAATGGCTGAACAACAGGAACATCTTCTCTTTCCCTCCAAAAGCCCAAATCTATGTTCACAGAGCATACAACATGAGGTGATGGCTAATAACAACTCAAGTCAGTTGGGGGACGGCTCTTTATTGATTTTGAAAATATTGTGCGCTTACAATCCGGCAAAACACATGCGGAGCCAGGCAGGGACCAACAGAATAACCGTCCGAAGTTGTCACCGCTCAGCAAAGTCCTTCCAGTCATGGATAGAGCCCGAATTTCGCTACATGCATTGTTACTTGCATGATGGGCTTCATGGATGAGCTCCATTTTCCATGCTAATGAGGATTTTCCGGAGAAAGAGAAAATAATGTGAGCTGAAGATTTTTGCTAGTAGGTAAGTAGAAGTGATAGGTGTGACATACGCTCGCTTGGATTCTCCGCATGAGCACTCTTACGCTGCCAAAACATCAGTTTACCCGCACGGTGGCCAGTGACGAGCAACGGTTTTACCTCGGCCTGTGGTAATCATTATCAGCGAGTTTGTTAAGTTTCTAACCAAGACATAGTACTGACTAGGGACCAGCAGCAAGCCGTGATAGCATCGGGTAATATGGTGAGAAGTTGATATTGTTGAAGTAGATCACCATTGATGCTCCAGACTCGTACCGTATTCTGTGAACAAGTCGCGATATCCCCAGTGGATTCGCTCTTGAAATCACAAGACGCATCGTGGGCAACAATCAGCGGAGGGTAGATATGCTTCAGATAATGATCCTCACTTACAATTGCGGCAAAAGAAACTGGGTTGGAATGTGGCAAACTATGAACCAGTAATGCTCGATTCAAGTCCCAGATCATCGCCAAACCGTCTTCGGCTCCAGAAACAACAATAGACAGTGTGCGTGAGGCAACAATGCATGATATAGGGCCAGAATGTCCTCGCAGAACTTCAATCTGCTGCAAATGAGCACCACCGTTGGCCAGCCAAGCAAATCTCCAGAGTGATATAGTAGAATCAGTAGACCCGGTGGCTAGAGTGCGTTGGTCTGCAAAACAAGCCGATGAGATGTGCTCAGAGCTGACTCCTTCGAATGTGGCACACAGAGAATTTGTAGAATCGAAGATCCGAAGCGTCTGGTCAAGAAAGTCCCAATCGAGGCGATGCGTAGCATTCGGAGGAACGAGCAATGATTGAGGTCCAGAAACAAATGTTTTTTCTAGATTTATGCCGGGATGGATTTGGCCAATTGGTTGCCTAATGTCTCGAATCGGTACGATCGACTGGATGAGGGCAGAACACGTTGAAGCTGTGATCATGGATTTAGGTTCCAACGCATGCTTCGGCTGTTTTGCACGCGCGGGATGAGGTGCCTCAAAGATTTGACTCGGTGTCAACCCTATTATCAACGATTGATTTGGATTAGTTTGGTGAATGTCGCTGATCAAATTCAGCTCGAGGCGAACTCATTGCTTACCCCAATTGCACATTGCGCCCAAGACGCTACTTCTTTCTCGATCATCATCAATAGCATCTAAGAGTTTACGTTGCAGACCGGCCTGAGTACACTTGTTTTAAGAATAAATATGATTGGAGGACAAACCTAAAGACACCGTGCCTTCGTAAGAAACCTCCTGAAAAACATTGACGGCATCCAATGCGGCTTGACCACGTTGCTTGTAACCAAAAACTGATCACAAGCATGATAGCTCGACATCAAAAAAGAATCACTCATGCCTATGGTATGATTGCAGACTTACTGAGATCTATCCAATGATGTATGTTTGCGCTGACGAAGTCCGACTCAAGTGCTTCACGATGTAGCTCAACAAATAGCCTTGGATCGCCGTGCGCCCAGGGAGGAAGTTCTACGTCACCAATGGGAGCTCCACCTTCTTGCCGGGAACCTAAATGTACGCATGGTAACGAGCAGGTTAGTCGATATACCAAAACGTGTTCAAGAAGCACCATGCTTGTTCAACAGATCAGTCGGCTAACCAAGACTAAGTTTATTTAAATTCAGCAAGAATTCGGGGCAGTGAAAGAATTCTGGAATCAATTCCCTGACATCACTTCGGCTTTGTTCTGAGGCTGACAGCCATGCTCGATGCATTGACCAGAAAGTTCGCTGTTGAGTAAAGCGTCAAAAAGATTAACATCAAATAGGAGCCATCCCAATTGCTAAGAAGCAGTTTTATAAACCGAGACAAGCTGTGGCAGTGGACTTCACGCACGTCTGCATGATCAAAAGAGCCCTGGATCTCTATGAAATGATCGCAAAAGGGCTGCAGTCGAATCAAGAATCCACAGACGACTACCGCAGATGAATAATGAGTCTGAATTGTATTTTGAAAAACGAATTGAAAAAGTCAGCCATGACCTCAACCTCAAGGAATAAAGTCAAGCATCAGCTTCACCATGTAATGTGCTGGTTTCATTCTCTCATCGCCAATAGTCCCAAATTCTTCTAGGCTGAGGAAACGCTCAATGAAATCCCCTGTGGAAGTGGGACTTGAGTATCTTGACCGGGTACAATAATGAATATTAACAGGACAACATACGTTTCCGAGATTCAGTTTGGGCACCCATGGGCAAATGTAACTTCCGGAACGACTCGGGTTTCTCAAGGTCAAGCGTTGAGCTAGTGTAGTCCGCCAAGATCCATGGAAATACAGGATGCTTCGAAGAGGGAGAACAAGTAGAATATTAGCGGGTCGATTCGTCGGCTTATTTCACATGCCGGAGTATGACAAACCTGTGTTAAATCTCGATAAGTCCTCCCAGCTTGGAGATTGGAAAGATACAGCGTTAGGGATAATAGACGCAACAGGTTATCGGTTTGAGAAAGAAAATCAACTCACCTGCATCATTCAGATATAGCAAGTAAGCTTGATTGGAAATTTGGCCGTTTTGCCAAAGTTCAGTCTGAGATTTAAGAGAAAGGTTCATATGTGACAAAACTTCAGGTCCAACGGATCTTCGGATGCAGTTTTTCAATTTTTTCAAGGCATCATCTCTCTTATGAGTTGAGAAGGTGAGCAGTCTACTTCTGCCATCTGCGAACAAAAACTCACTAGGAATGTGCAAGGCTTCTGTTAGATATTGATAGATAAACCTTTGACTCAGGGTTGGGTAAAATAGATGCTCACATGCAAATATCCCGGAACAGCCATTTACGAGACGAAATGGATACAATATCACTGTAGTTCCACCGACGAGTTTGGTGAGCAGCAGCTCGACTGTTCAGTTTTGCTGTTTGTCGGGATAGACTTGCAAGGGTACGCAGGTGGGGGTCTCGCTCTTCCCAAGCATCCCATGAATTTACCAATTCTCCATTTGACTTCTGGAAGAACCCATCAATAATATAGATACTTATTTGTGAAATAAAGTTGTGGTTAGAATAAGAGTGACAAGGAGATCAGCACAAAAAAAAAAAACAAGAATTTTGTTCGGATTTTACTCAACTTGTTTTTGGCCATCAAAAACAGAGCGGCTTTTTACATAACATGCAAACTATCAGTGTATGTTTTTCACCACCCGGTTAACGAAGAATACGAGGTGAACAAAAACGGCCACAACTGCACTTACGGCAGGTATCCAATCCAATAACCTGTTCTACGTTCCAAACCCCTTGGATCACATCACCAGCTTCAAGGCTCTTCAATATTCGCCTGGATTTGTCCTCATTGAAGTCTTCTGAATGAGCATCTTCACCATGCCTTTTTCCGCCATCCAAGATGGATTTCTTTGAAGCAAGGTCATCTACCGGCCGAGTGTTCCTATCAGTGTTGACCTGGACCCCAAGGTCATCATATTCTCCAGATTCTTCACCCCATATTTCACTCGGGGGAAGAAGAGATTCGGGATGAGTTGGACTAATTGGCGAGGTTTCATCCGCCCTTTTTCTGAGCTCGTCAAACGTTTCCTCATCCCTATATGAGTCGCGTCTCGACGCGCCTAAGCTTCGCATTCGATGGTGCCGTATTTTAGGTCTCTGAATAGAGCGGGTGTCTAACTTCTGTCCCAATCTCCTCAGTTTTCTTCGCTGACGACTCGGCCCTTCTGTGGAATCCAATGCCCAGTAGGTTGCGGTATTATCTTGCGCTTGCGCCAGAATGGAAAAGGGTCGATAGAGCTCTCCAAGCCGTTTTGTTAGTTGCATTTCAAGATAATGCTTCGTGTCAAAGTTGTCTTGGCGAAGCTGTCAATTTTGATATCAGCCCGAATTTCAACGTGACACCCATGTCTACATGAATTAGCAAGACAGGTCCTTACATTGGCAAACCGTGCTGCATCAATTTCTTTGACGCTCCTGGACCAAACCTGCAGTTTTTTGACCACACTTTCTAACCTCCTGGATTCAATTACACCTTTATTCGAATGCTCAGTCCACATTACCCGGAACTTGGTTAGTATTTCGGATCTTGTTCGGTTTGCTCTCATCTCTGATTCAGTCACGAATTGTATCCAGTCCAATTTTCCAGTGCAATTGATCGAAGAGCTCTTTTCGAGCACTTCTTTCAATTCATCTGGCTGCATTTGAAGCACCTTCGAGAGATCTCTTTCAACCTGTGACATTGAATGGTCAGTGGTCGAAGGATGATCGGTGGTGTCACTAGACCCCGAGATTGAAGCTGAGCGCTCTGTCACCGGATTAGATGGATCGATATTGAGACAAAACTCTTCCAAGATCAGCGGATGATATGAGAAGAGGAGTTTGAGCACATCGGAGGCGGATGTCCTGATGCTGTGAGGGCGGGAAAGATATTGTGTAAGAATGTACACCAATCTGGGAACAAGCTCCGGAGGAACGGCGGCGATTAAACTAGCCAAATGATGACTGCAAAGTTGCTCCAGTAACACCTCCGGCGCCGACGTATATCGATTGGTTAGACTACATTTTGTATCCAAAAAAAAAAAATCATTCTGCAATTTAATATGTATTACTTTGATAGAAAAAAAGAAAAGTTTGGATTGGAAGCCCTTACGCAATGAGCAACAAATCTCCTAGGGGGCCAATGAGGCCTTGAATTGGTCTCGCGAGCAAGAAAGTAACCAATTGGGACACGGATGTCGCATTGGGTTGCAACCAGCCTAGTATCATGCGAGTCCAAATCTGTTAGATAAGCAGTTGTTGAAAAGTCATCAAAAATGGCGGAACAGCCAACCTGAAAGATATCCATCCGCTAATGTTGCGATCAGCCAATCCCATGGAACAGAACCTGGATCAGTTTGAAGTATAATCATTTCGATGACTTGGTTCATAAATGGAGTTATCCAAGCACGCTACAGCACGTTAAATTACCACAATCAGTCATTTGAACAGTGGAGTGATATAAGAGAAAATGCGGTTTGTATCGAAGTAAGACTCACATCATTGCCAACTCGATTGATGACGAGAGTCAATAACTGCTCGAGTCTATTCACCCTCAAGTTCTTTTCGAACGCTCGTCCAGAGTCGCTTCCTGCTTGCTTGGATTGACTAAGGTTAGAATGCTGATCAAACAGAAAATTCATGAGGAAACAGTCCGTAATGCTGGCGAGATTTTCGACGACATCTTCCAAGGCATTGTCATAACAGTATAATGAGGTTGCGCCGGTTGAGGTTGGATCAGATTCCTCGAAAGATGGTCCAAATGGACTGTCTTCCAGGAGATCATAGGATTCGGGAGCCAATGCCTTTTCGGGAATACCAGGAGAGGTACAAGGAGCCACTTCACCATTGATCATCAGAGCTGTAGGTACGGTGACACTCAATGAGACTGACGATTTTGGAAGTTTGCTTTGGCGATTGCTCATCCTGTTTTTGTTTTGTGACTTGCTTCCCAAGGTGTAGGCCGAGTCCCGTTGGTTGTTCGGAGATGAGGTCGTGCAGACACCTGCTGGTGGTTGAGCAGCTTGATCGATGCCGGGTGAGGTAAAGGTGAGGGGAAAGGAGGAAAGGCAAGACGCTTCAGGGGTTTTCGGGGTCAAATTGCTTTGCATTTCGTCCTCTGATCTCTCCGGCTCGGGCTGAAGGTGTCCCAAGTGTGGTAAGCAGCTTAGTAAGGTCACGTAGTTAGCCCATACTTTGACAATGTCTTTGTCTCCAAGCATCTCGTTCCAACCGTCATCTTGCGATTCCATTCTAAGATTTAGCCATTCCATTACGTAGATTGACGTCATGTTTTCTCCGGAACAGCGAACGACGTATGCTGGCTTTAGTAGGGAAATTACAATTGGTAACATCTCAGGCGTGACCAATTCGTTCGGGATCCCGCGAATGGACCTTATCACACCCTGAAGGTCATCTTTGAACATCAGAGGTGAGGTGCCTGGCGTAGCGGACCTGTTGGTACTAAACATCGGCACCGTCCTGATATCCACTTGACTCAATAAGCTCAGTGTAGTAACCAAGATCGATTCGTTCTGAAAACAAAATTTAGCAAGAACTGATCTCATAATTGTAAAACCAGCTAAAGTGTTTCTAAAGTGTTGTAGCCATCGAAAATCTTGTGTTTGAATCAACCTAGTTAATATCCGAAGGCTGTAGGAGATTACTTCAGGGTGCGTATCTTTCCGGAAAAACATCAACAGCCATTTCGAGCCGTTAATAGCCTTCAGAAATTGGGTTATATAGGTGCAGCTTTCTTGATCATTTGGCGATAAGAGCAGGTCATGAAGAACTTTCAGTACCATGATTGGTTCATCTAGCGTTATGGATGTTGACAGTGACTTAGAATCGACGGCTGGTACATTCAATTGTGCTGGCATACTTTGGGATTCTTGATGATCTTTTGACTCGTTTGCACTTGTGCTACCGACTGGAAGTTCTTGTTTTGATGACTGTTCGGGAGTCAAGCTCGCAGTAAGATAACTAGCCAAATGCCGAATGACTTGCGAGTTGAATTGAGCTTTTAGGACACAGCCCAACAACCTGATATATGCCGGGATTACCTCTCCGCCTTCTGATGACACAGAGAATTGTCGGTTGCGCAATGCATACAGCATTTTTGGCAAAAGATCTGGGAGTACCATTAAGCAATTAGTGACAAAGTCTCACGTGAAAGATCGCCAGAGATCACTCACTAATTTTACCAATTCTTTTCATACTGAACCGACTCCATACGCTGGTCTCAATCATCCCACATAGACTCTCACAATGAAAGCGTTGTATTTCAAGCGGAGTTGAGGACCACAAGTCAAAATCCAATAGTAAGAACCGAAATGCTAATGGATTAGTTATGACCGAATGTCGCAGCCCGTTATTTTGATTCTTGATATCAGGTTTGGTAGCCAGAACGGGATCATTCAAGGATAGATTACACAACTTGTCGGACGAGGTTGGGGACTGGCTGGATGAATCGTCGACCATGATGCCAGCAAAGCGGAGCAAAATTCGATGCACGGGTGGGGTGATCAAATGAGTCTTCGATCTCAAGATAAATCCCAGAGTCTCATAAGCCTACAAAGCAAAACATAAGCAACTGTTTCAATATTTTGTCAGTTAAGCAACGCGATAAGGAGCTTGCCTGGATCTTCTCCGCATCCTCACTCAATCTCCAATTATGACTGATAGCTTCGAAAAAAATCTGCAAGGCCATCATCAGCTGCTTCTCGGTGGATGACAGCTGGATCAATCGAACAAGGAATATTGATCCGGAAGCTGTCCAAATCGAATCATCTAATCGTTTTGGAGAGCACATTTGCACCTCTCCAATTAGTTCTAAAATTTGTTCGTGGGTAGTGTAGGCAGTGGATTCTTTCGAAGGGGACGGGGTCATCGACGGCGGAGGTAGACCATATCCTGAAGAGGTCAGTGGATCCATAAAGTAATGGGAGGCTTTCGAGTTGGGTGTGCTAGCATTCAGAATTCCGTTTGCAAAGATGGGTCCGAAAGCAGAAGATGTGGGGCCTGATGCCAATGTGACCTTGTCATAAGTTTGGTGGTCAAAGGATGGTGCATCGATCGGTGTGTAGATCTTTTGCATGTAATTTACACTGTCCATGTCGTCATGTTTGTCCTGTACCTGCTTGAGAGGATCGGGAATCACAATGCCATTTTTTGCCGATAGAGCAAAATATATTGACGTTTGAGGAATAAAAGCTGAAGCTGGCTCCTTGACAGCCTTGATCAGCGGAGATTTATTGAGTAATGCTGCCGTTGCAGGTGCTGCAGGTGCTGAAGTGGATCTCTGCATAGCTTGATCCGAGTTTAGTTTGCTTTTGGGAGCTTGATGACGCAGATTATCTATTTTCAAATTGAGCAAAGTGCTTGACGAATAAGTTTGGAATGACCCAAGAGCGTCTTGAAAACACGTGAAGATTTTGGGGCCCAAGGTAGACATGACAAAGAGCATGTCACCTGGCAAAGCTTGGTTGAATAGCCAACACCCAGCAAGATTCCACCGAGGTCTCTCCAGCCTAGGCGGCACCCGGCGGTGTGGGGAACCGAGGTTTGGGTTAGGCAGAGATGGCATGGAACCAAAGCATGCAGACAGACGCTGCGACTTGGGAGTCTTCGGCCACAATATAGGCAACAAGCCAGCGCATTCGCCGTCGATGAATAAACTAACGGTTGAGCTTGAATTTCTGGTCCCAGGTTTCTGGACAACAGCAAAATGATAGAACCGACCCAACTCAAGTGTGATCTTGTTGAATTCAGCGGTTGTTTTCGAACCAGAGCTACTAGCGAATTCCGGTAGGCCTTCATTGGTCGCGCGGGCGCTACTCTTCGAGTCGCTGCACGAAGACGATAACATAGAAGGGCGAGAGGTCTGAATGATGACAGAGGAGGAACGTGAGATTGCAATCTGCACATAGCATTCTTCATTTGGATCGGAAATGGTGAGCAGCTCTAAGAGCATGTTAGGATCATTTCCGAAAGATTCAATTTGAAGCCAGGTTACAAATGTCCAGCCGCTAGTTTGATTAGGAGGAAACGCGTTGGTGCCCAACGAATCAAGTACCGCATATGCGCATCCAGGTTTCGAGGATCCAAAGTGAATAATGGGAGGACAGTTGGAGCTCTTCATGCCTGATAGTCTGCGCCAAAAGAAGAAATTTAATTAACAATGCCCTTCCTCAATAGTTCATGAAAATCGCGACATAGCTAGAGCCACTGAGCAAATGTGGACACATACATTAGCTCTAAGTAATCTTCATCCAATGTTTCTTTCCCATTGCTACCCGCGTCATGTCTTCTAACCGCTTGCCGAAAAAGGATCCGTGCTTCTCGAGGGGAGGATCCCACTTGGAGCATCTGTTGGACGATTGCCTTGGAAACCTGCCGACATTGCCTATCGCCAAGCCGGTTCGCAATCTTATCCGAACCTGTGATCAGCGTTTTTGGGTTCCAGGGTTCCAGACCTGCACTCGGTAGAGGGGCACTTGTAGATTCACTGCCTTGCGCTTTTCTGCCGGGAGGTGGAGAGGTAAGGTTGGACTGTGGAGCGAGTCTCTCTAGAAGGACAGCTGTTAGTTCAATTGAATTGAGGGCAATCTGACTATGTCTTGAAGTAGCGGCTAGAATCTCGATTGCCTTGAGGCTCAGAAATAGTAATTCATAATTGTCTTCAAGATTTTGCACACTGCTGTCGGCTAGATAAAATAAATCAGCATGAAGAGCGAAGAGCAGCAAGACTGCGTCAGCTATTTCGACACGCAAGAATTCCGAACGGTCGCAAATCTCTTGGCGTAACAATGCAGCCATTTTTGAGTACTTTGAATCAGAGTCTAGCTTGGTTGGGATTGATGTCGAGCTGGTACCTTGACTAGCTTTATTACGGGTAGCAGAGTGACCGTTTTCTTCTGAATCGAAACTAGCAGCCGCGCTGGCTTCGCCTTGGTGATTAATTTTGATTCGGACAGTAGAAAATAGATCGACGCATGAGAAATCGGCGACAATAAAAGCGAACAAAATCCCAAATAATTTCTCAATCTTCTGTCGGCGATAACGAGCAGAGGGCAAGGTCGATTGACTTCCTGGGTTCAACTGAGGTATGAAGCTGGAAAGGCGAAGGGCGTCCAAGACAAGTTTAAACCCGAGTTTGGTAGAAAAGAATAGCTGGTTTTCGCGATGGTTGGACAAAGCCAGAGCAAGGCATTTGAAGACGAGTGTGGCAACCGCGTCGCGCTCTTCTTGCAGCTCTGAATGTTTTGATTGCGTGATTTTCGAAGCTGGCTTTGGTGATTCAGTAAGACCGGATGGCAGACCGTCATCGACTGCAATTGACGGGACTCTTCTCTGATTTGAAGACTCAGATTCGGCTTTATCTTCCGTGGTGGTAGTTGGTTGCGGTTCAGGAAGGGCATCAGAACCTAAGCTAGCCAAGACGGTGATCAAGGTCAAGAATCCAGCATTCTCTCTCATACACTCCCTACATTTAGGCATGTCAGAGAGGATGGCAACCATGAGAGAAAGGAGAGCTCTTGTTTGAGATAAATCATTCGGGCGAACTTGCTGTAGTAATTCAATGACTTCGGTCAATTCTTTCTTCGAGACAGATAATGCCCGTTCCGCTTGGGGCGATGATTGGGGAGTGCGTCGTGATTTGGTGAAGCAGCCTGATAATGGGGAAGGTGTACAGGGAACACGATTGCCAGGAGCTAAATTGAGACTCTGCTGTCGACTGGGGACGGAATGAGGCGGCTGCGGTTTTGGACTTTCGACCTCGGCGCGGGGACTTGCAAGATCTATCAAGCTTCCAATTGAACTAGACCTGAGTCGATTGAACATTGTAGCAAGAGAGTTAATATGTCGAAGGTTCGAACGAGAAACCCGATATCAAATCAATGGACCAAGGGGTCGGGAAATTGGCGGAAAGAGACGCTAGAATCAATCTAATAATGACAGGGCGGGTCTAGGAACAGAAAACACAGTTAGTAAGATTTCATGTGATACAAGGAGAGGTTTAAATTAGACTTTATCTTACGAATTGATCCACGAAAACACGGTTGATTATTTTCAGAATAGGCGGTTTTCTTAGGTTAGAGGAGAAGGTCTTTCACAGTTCCTAGATGAGGTTTACTAAATTACACCAAAAAGCACAAAATCAAGGCGAGGGAGATTGGATCGGGTCAGGAATGCGGATCAAGACTATGTGTAGATGGAGTAGGCTGGTGAATGGCGTGTGGTGGAGTTGAGGTGAATTTTCGTCCGAAGAGCGGCTAGAGGAGGAAGGCAGGTTTTGAAGAATGATCATGGATAATCACTGCGGAGGGAGTATCACAAAATGCACAATCACAATCAGTAATCTGCAGCCAGCGACGATTGAAGGTTGGATGAAAACTGACCATGGATCTATCATTCGATCAAGACCAGTTTCCGCGGAAGATCTGTGTGAACTGAAGGGTTGGTATAACTACAAGCACAATCCTTTTGGATGTTTTCTTTGGGTGAATCAAGGCCGGAGGAGGAGAAACAAATCCTTCAATGTCAATGCGAGATTCACAGCGGTTCCTCAGTTGATGAAGTAGTCGAAGGTTGATGATGGCGTCCAAGTTGAATCGACGAAATAATTCTTGGGTCTGAAGTCCACTGCCTGGAAGTGATTGCGTGAAGGAGTTGATTTAATTATAAGGCACGCTGGAGGGCCGATTGAATTTTAAGCTTGATTTTCCACCGGGTTTCCTGACGATTTGAGTATTTCTCTCCACGACCATCAACCTGCTAATCCATGGAAAGTGGTAAGATGGAACATGAGCACTTTGTATATGTTTTTGGAAAATCTAAAAATTTCAACCTCACCTCTTCAAGTATGGTCCTCTCTTTCCCGTGGATGCTACGTAAAGAATCAGAGACGTTCCAATTTTTTGTCGAGATGATGAGCCCACGAGTGTAAAATACCAAGGAGATGATTGATGATGAGGATGATGCAGAGCTGAATGCAGGCTTGAGCACGACGGACGTCACCTGTACACACGCTAGGCTCAACTAGGTTTGTATTGCGAGTGGATGTCGCGCGCCCAACCCAGTGAAACCTCAGCCAAGCCATCTGTGAAAGGCCCAAGATGACCATCAGTACATACAATCGCACTGTTCAACAGCTTCATACACTTTCCACGATAAACTTGAACTAGGCAAAACCATTATCCCGTTGAGGATAACCGTTCCATAGCAATCGAGACGTCTTCAAGAACGCCGGATAACCTCGCAGGATGTCTCGGCTTGCTCCTCTAGTGATCGACAATGGAACTGGATACAGCAAGATGGGGTAGGAGTCCCCCAGCTACGTCATTCATTGCAAGTAGGGAAGAGGCTGACTTGGTCTATGTTTTGCTTCGGATTTCTTTTTTTTTGCGACCGATGGGTTGGATGCCCAGTTTTGCTGGAAACTCAGATCCATCGTTTGTGTTTCCAACAGCGATTGCCACCCGTGGTACATCAGGTGGTGGAAGTGCATCAGGACCATCGATCACCGGTCGACCTTCGATCCCTTCCAAGCCTGGCGCACTATCGGCCTCCTCGAACATTGCTACCAAACGAGGGATCGACGATCTAGACTTTTTTATTGGCGACGAAGCAATCGCAAATAGTAAAACTTATAACGTCAACTATCCGATCAGACATGGTCAGATCGAAGACTGGGATCTCATGGAACGATTTTGGCAGCAAACAATATTCAAATATCTCAGGGCTGAGCCGGAGGATCACCACGTGTTATTGGTTGGTCTGCTTGCTTAAATTCTTCTCAACCGATTTTCTCTGCTCCCTGACTTCTCTTCTCCACTCCTGGTTTATATAGACAGAGCCACCGATGAATGCACCCGAGAACCGCGAGCAAACTGCGGAAATCATGTTTGAAGGTTTGAACATCCAAGGTATCTATCTCATCAGCCCTTCTACCCTTGACGATTGAACCGATCAACTCTGACTCCAACTTTTGACAGGGCTTTACATTGCCGTTCAGGCGGTCCTTGCACTAGCTGCCAGTTGGTCCAGTAACAAAGTGACTGACCGAACTTTGACGGGCACAGTCATTGATTCCGGAGATGGTGTAACCCACGTAATTCCTGTGGTACGAGGCTGTTTCCCGCCATTATACTCAATTTCCAGCCTTGTCGTTGAAGTGAAATACACCCCATTATATAGGCAGAAGGATACGTCATCGGGTCCTCGATCAAACATATCCCGATCGCCGGACGAGATATCACCTATTTTGTACAACAGTTACTCAGGGATCGCAATGAATCCTTAAACATCCCAGTCGACGAGTCTCTGAGGATTGCTGAGAAGATCAAAGAGGATTACGGATATGTCTGTGGCGATATGGTTAAGGAGTTCCGAAAATACGACAGTGAACCAGAAAAGTATATCATCAAGCATGAAGGCTTTGATACTCGAACTAACAAGGTATACCAGATTTTACCATTTTGAACTAAATGGCAACTGACTAACAACAAGGCGCTGTCGCCGATCGAATTTGATAGGCTTACACTCTTGATGTGGGATACGAAAGGTTTTTGGCGGCCGAAGTGTTCTTCAATCCCGAAATTTATAGCTCGGATTTCCTGACTCCACTACCCGAGGTCGTCGATAACGTGATTCAAACTAGTCCAATTGATGTCCGTCGAGGATTGTATAAGGTGTGTGTGTCGCTTTATAATATTCAACTCTTCATCATCCCCATTCAATCTGATAAACGTTCCGGTGCTCTTTTTTTGGGCCGTTTATTTTCTGCTCAAGAACATCGTGTTATCTGGTGGGTCGACGATGTATGATCATTTCGGACGTCGACTTCAGCGTGATTTGAAATCGATAGTAGACGATCGGCTTTATGCTTCTGAGGTAGCTAGTGGTGGATTAATCAAGGTGAGTGGTGGACCTTGACCTGCTACATTGCTCATTCTTGGGACGAAGGGATTGGCTGACTGACTCACCGTAAACAACAGTCATCCGGAATGGATGTCAATGTGATCACCCATAAGCGTCAACGTTATGCCGTGTGGTTTGGTGGTAGTCTAATGGCTTCAACAGTGAGCATATTATGTTTATGTTTACCTTTTGATTTGCTTGATAATTCATGCTAATCAAAACAACGTCTATCTGGTCATCATTTTCAGCCTGAGTTTTACAGTCACTGCCACTCGAAAGCAGATTACATGGAATACGGGCCTTCGATTTGCAGAAGATATCAAATCTTTGGCTCGGCCGTTTAGGCTGCATCTTAAATTATCATCCTTCTTAAAATAACTGTTGCATCAATCGCATTCGGTTTTATTTTCCATCCATTTTCATCGATTCTCGGCTTGATGAGTTGGCAGCACAAGCTCCTCAAGCTTGCAGTATTGTCAGATATAACTCTCTTTGTATTTTTTTTAAAAAATCTCAGTGGCACGGTTCTTGCAGACACTCCAAGCCAATCACATGTCAACATCATTGGTTTTTCATGCTTTTTTAATAAAAAAAACCTTCCCATCAATAACAACATTCAGTTAGACACCAATGAATACCTCGAAGGGGCTAGATAATTTCACTTCCTGAATCTGAAGAATCTTTGGCTTGTTGTCACAAAGAAACTTGATAAGTCTCAAATTTCATACGAAATCTGCATGTTACAGCTGTGTGGAAGCCAACAGACAGTCAAGTTACAAAAAGTGCAGTGATTAAGGGACAGGAAAACTGAGTCCTGCCTTTTCGAACCCAGGTCCACAGTGTGTTGGATCTCCATTGAAACACAAATCCAATGATTGTTTGTACGGACAAAATTTATGACTTGTTTGGTCATGTCAAGAGAAGAAACCCCAAATTGGTTGCCTGTGCAAGAAACAGCTCTATCGAAAAATACCGCGTATGCCACTAGAAACAAATCTTTTAGTCAATAAATTGCATGTCTTCGAAAATTAGTCCCATGAGGACCCACGCCTAGACTCTAGTCCCGTGCGTTGCTGGAAAGTTTCGAGACACGGGTCCTTTGAAGCTCGCGTGATCTCCAGAGAGGCTTTGTTCGTCATTGCAGCAATGATGTGATTGCAGCTGAGTATCAAGTACGGATTTTGTGCTTTTGTTTCCAGCCGCCCGGGTCAAACACTAGCTCAGCAAACCTCTCGGTCAGATTGCAAGTTGTATGTAGGCGGGACTCACGTGGAGGGTCTCTGTTTCGTAGGCACAGAATTCTGTATTTTAAGTCGTTTTTCATTTTTCAAAATAATGAAGTGTCCCCTGTGGGCTTCCGGACATCATACAATCGCTTCTCAAGATGGGGCGAGCTCGAGAAAGAATGGTGAGGATACCTGGTGCCCAACCCGTTTTGGTTATGGTATGCAACTAATACCCTGCTCTGTCACACCTCCATAAATACAGATTTAACCTGAAATTCATACCACGTACATAGCAGCGTATGATGGGCCGAACTGAGGACAGGGTCAAAAAATGCCTATAAATTCACCTGCCATCTGCACTCTGGGCATTCAACATCACTTCAATCGCGGCGACGTTCTCAAAATGCTAAAAAATTGCGGTACTTGTTTCGTGCTGACTGCACTTGTCGTTGTGGCCTTCATGAATGGTTTGTGCCTCGCTGGAGAAGATGTGTTCAAAGCTGTTCACGGGCAACCCACGCGCACCGGATGGAGGGAGGGAACAGGCGTTTTTCTACCAAAGCCACGGCCTCGGACTGGTGTTTCTTCTGGCAGCCGTGGCACCTCTCAACGTCAGTACGAAACAGCCTCCTCTCGCAATACCCACTATGGTAATATTGGTAGCCAGAGCTATGGAACAGGACCTTTCCATCCTCAGAACGGTCATCAGGGTGCAAAGGCTCCTTCCCATGGTGCTGAAAATGGTACGCTTTGTCATTCTGCCCTCGCCATACGCCTGTAATGGGGTTCATCACGAGCAGAGCAAGGAGCTGACCCATTCATGTTCTTGATATAATTTTACCAATTCCAATTTCTTTGGATCAGACAAAAACGACGTCAACAAATTGCCTGATGATTTGTATACTGATCCGGTTTAGATCCAAGCTCGCTTGGAGCGCTGGGCCGAGGACCACATCACCATTCTCCTCATGGCCTTAGGCCCTTCTTAATTAGTGAATGCAAATCCTGCCCATGGTCCCAATGAAGCACATTATCAGGCAAACTGCCCCCCCCAAGGATCTCATCCAAATGTCTAATACAACTCATCTTCTTGCGTGATGGCGCAATGTATCTAGATCACCCT